CCCTCAAGAAGCTCACGGGCCCCAGGGAGTGTGGCTCCTCAAGGCTGGGGGTTCTTTCTGTTCTATTCATTGACAAACCCCCAGAGCCTAGAATCATGCCTGGCAGGTAGTAGGTACCCCAGAAGTATTTGTTTGAAAAGTGAAAGAAGTCGGGTTCTCTATGATAAAAGTAATCCCGTGGATTGTTGGACCAGCCTGGGGAGGTCAGGGAAAGAAGGACGAGAAGTTGGTTGGGCAGAGGGGGGCGAGGTGGCCAGGGAATTCTCAAAAGAGGGAATTTTTTAAAACATAGGTGTGCGAGGGGATTAGGAACTGTCATAGGCTGCCAGAGCAGAAAGGGCCAAGAGCGGCAGTGGCTGAAGCTAGAGGAGTGAACTTGCCCACCAGGCTGCTTGGAGTCTGTCCTCAGGGCCGCAAGGGCCTTTGGAAGGGCTCTGGCAACCTAGACGTGGCGGCTGGGTTCGCCCCGGGAGCCTGGCCCCGGTGCCCCACCGTTCTGTTCCAGGCCGCACTTCTCAGCCCTCAGCACCCCTCTCTCCTGCTCTGCCTGTTCCTCCCCACAGGGATGGGGGTGGGGGTGGGGGGGATTCGTTCTTCATGACCGGGTTTTGCGCCCCGGCGATGGCTCCCGAGCCATTTTCCAGATGCCAGCTTGTGTGGTCCTTCCACTCACGGGGAGTTTCACAGTCTTCTTACAGGAACACCAGCCACCGGATCTGGGGCCCGCCCTGATCCGGAATGACCTCCTCCTAACTCGTTGTATCTGTAAAGACCCTGTTTCCAATTAAGGTCACATTCTGTGTTTGGGGGACACTATTCAACCCCGTGCAGCTACTTTCGTGTGGGTGATGTTTGCGTCTGCCTGAGCGGCACGTCCAGGTGGGGGCTTCTCCAGCACCCTCGCAGGGACTCATTGCTGTACCCTTCGGGTGCCGAGGCTCCTGGCCGGCCCGCCTTCTTATGTGCGTTTTATGCATAATGGCCAGCGCTTTTAAGCTGCACCTAGTGGGGGGGTGGAGAGGAATGCAGCTACTCCAGGTTGTTCGGAACTGGAGATTCTCTTTTTATTCTGCACTCCCTGTATCCCTGTAAGTCCAAGCTGGAGATGTGTCTGGATGTATACTTCTTTTAGGAACTGTGGGTCACTGAATCGTTCCAGTCCACTCTGTCGGGCAGCGGCCATGCCCTCCATCTTCGAGATAAGCTCTTCTCTCCACTGGGCTGCTTCTGAAATGGCTGAGGGATAATACCCTTAAGCTTTCTAGAACCCGTATTGTTTGATTCGCAGGATCTGTGAGGCACCTATAGTTTTTTTTAGGGGTCTTTTATCTGACTGAATAGTACACCAAAGCATCACCTTCAGTCTTTCAGACATGTAAACCAAAGGTTTTATAGTCACGTTCCCAATTTCATTACAGACCATGGTTTGTTTTGGGGGTTTATTTGTTTGTTTGTTTGTTTTGCAATTTGAGCTTTGCTAGGAAACCATTTCTTAATTTTAGCATCATTTGCCATTTGGAGAGGTTGAGGATTTTCTGCCATGAAGTCCTGGCTCCTTTATACTTAACAGCCCTTTAGTTCATGGTTCCCCAGCCTGAGCACTGCTGACATCTTGGGCAGGATGATCGTTTGATGCGGGGGGAAGAGGTGATGGGAGACGGGTCCGTCTCATGTATTACAAGATACATAAGTATCCCTGGCCTCCACTAACTAGAGGCCAGCAGCTGCCTCTAGTCTGGACAACCAAAAATGTCTCCAGACATTGCCAAAGGTCCTGAGGGAAGATGAGGGAAGCAACGCTGCCGTCATCTGAGATCGATTCTTTTAGTGCCTCTCTCCCCGCCTGCGTTTACTGTGAGCAGCAAGGGGAGGCCGGCACGTCTTCAACTCTGTACCCGGAGATCTCCTTAGCTGAGTCCCTCAACTCATCGGGCACATTTTCTTCTTCCCACCTGACTGCTGCAGGGTTGCTAAACTTGGTGCCACAATGTAGCAAGAATTCCTCTTTCCCCGGTTTCACTAGTGTTTGTCTCACCTTCCTCTATGCCAGCGGATTTCATCCGATGTGTCACGTGGCGCCCTGCTGCGCCGAGAGAATTTTTAAAACATACAATGCCTGACTATTTAGTCAGGGACACTGACCTCTTTTCCCTTAGATTGTCAAATAAAATAGTAACAACAGTCAACACAACAATATCTGTCCGGTGTGAACGAATAAAAATTATACCTATCTTTTTTGTCAGATCAGCAAAAAACGTATTTTTTGGTGTGCTGTCGAATTTTAGTAATTAGTCGATGTGTGCCGTGGGAGGACACAGGTTGAAAATCGCAGCTCTGTGCCCTGAATGCAACAGCATCAAAGCCTGAGGCTTTTTTTCAAGGCGCTTTAGGCGTTCCCTGCACTCTTCTCGAAGTCTATTGCTCAGTCCTAACGCCACTCCCATGCTTTAGAGGGCCGTGACAGCAGCCCTCTGCCCCAGTACCAGCATCTCTGTATGCTACCTGTTGCTGCGTAGCAAATTACCCCAAAGCTAGCAGTTCAAAACAAGAAGCATTTATTACCTCAAAGGTGTTGAGCATCAGGAATCCAGGAAGGCTCCAGCTGAGTGGTTCTGCCTCAGTGTCTCCCGGGGTCGCAGGGAAGCTGCGGGCCAAGGCCACACCGTGTCCAGGCCCTGCACGGGGCCAGGAACCTGTTTCAGAGCTCGCCCAGGGGCTTGCGGGGGGGCCTCTGCTCTGCTCCGGCGGCTGGCTGGAGTCTCCCATCCCTCACCCTGCGGACCTCTCTGTGGGGCTGCCGGCAGTGCAGTGGCTTGCTTCCCCGGAGCGAGCGGTCCAAGCAACGGAGAGCACACACCCAAGACGGAAGCTGTGGTCCTTTCTTTTCTCTTTACATCCTAATTTTGAAAGCAGTGCATGCCATCGTTTCTGCCATGTGTCACCAGCCCCACAGAGGAGCCCCGACACAGTCAGAGTGGGCGAGAACGTGCGAAGGTCTGAACAGAGAGAAGGTGGGGGCCCTGGGAGTGCTTCGGGGGGCTGGCAGCTGCGCTTCAGTGTCATTCCAGATGTTTTTCTCATTTCCTTTTCAACTTCATCTTTGACTCATGCGTTACTTTGAAGTGTTGTGTTTTATTTCCAAGTATTGCATTGTTTTCCAGATATTTTTCTGCTATTATTTTTATTTTCGTTCTTTATGGTCATAAAACACATTTTGTATGATTTCAATTCAATTCTCTTAAATGTATTAAGGTTTGTTTTATGGCCCAGGATATGATGTATCTTGGTGAATGTTTTATGTACGGTTGAAAAGAATGTTTATTTTGCTGTTGGTGGGTAAAGCGTTATAAAAATGTCAATCAGAACAAGTTAGTTGAGCCCTGACCAGGTAGTTCAGTTGGTGAGAGCGTCACCCCGCTACACCAAAGTTGTGGGTTCCACCCCCAGTCAGGGCTCATGCAAGAATCAGCCAATGAATGCAAAAATAAACACAAAAATTAACAAAAAAATAACAAGTTAGTTGATAGTGTTCAGGTTTTCTTAGCTTTTTTCCTGTCTGGACCTTGTTTTATTGATTACTGAGAGAGAGTTTTTTAATTTCCTAAGTGTATTATAGATTTTGCGCTTTCTTATTTTAGTTCTGTTGGTTTTTACTTCATGTATTTTTGAAGCTCTGTTATTAGTTGTATACACCTCTGTGATTGTTAAGTCTTCTTAGTGAATCGAACCTTTTGTTATGATGTAATGTCCCTCTTCATCTCGATAATAGCCCTGCCTTCGAAGTCTGCTTCTTCTGATATGAGTACTGCCAGTCCAATTTGCTCTGATGAGCAGTTTGCTTTGTGTGGTGTATCTTATTCCATCCATCCACGTTTAACTCACACATCCCTTTATCCTTACATTGGGTTTCTTGTAGACAGCATATTATTGCCTCTTGCTTTTATTCCCAATCTAGTGATCGGTCTTTTAGTTGGTTTTTGATACATTTGGATTAAAATCTACCACCTCCCTACTTGTTTTCTATTTCTTCATCTGTGCTTGTTTTCCGCGTTTCTTCATGTTCTTCCTCCCTGTGGGCTGGTCGTGTTCTGTCAGGGAAAACCTTACCCCATGGGCACCAGCGGTGGACAGTGGGACCTACTGTGTCCAGTCAAGACAGTTGGCCGCTCGCAGCGCACCACACGGCAGGAGCGTCAGCAGCATCTTGTGTGGATTCCTTGGCTCCGAGTCCGGCCAGTGGTGCCGAGGTCCCAGCTGCTCAGCGCCCACCCGGCGGGTGCGCGTTGTGGCTGAGAAACCCGTGTCCAGCCCTTTCACAGCGCGCGGTAAGCAAGCCTGCCTTTGGGAAAGATGCGATCAACGGATCGAGTCAATCTGAAAATAATATTGCACGACTTCTCATACAGCGTAAAGACCTTTCAGCGGTATATTTCCAGTTCCTCATCCCATAATTCGCACTATTGTTATTGCCATACATTTTCCTTTTAGATATCTCCGAACCCACAGTGGATCACTGTTCTTTTCCTTTCGTCATCTGTTACCTGTGAAGGTAATGAAAAACAGAAAAACAGTTAACCTTTATTTCATCCATTTCCAGAGATCTTCATTTCTGCGTGTAGATCCAGGTTTCTCTTTAGTGTCCTAGTCTTTCTGCCTCCAGAACTTCCTTTGCCATTTCTTGTAGTGCTGACCTGCTGGCAATGAATTTTGGTTTTGTTCATTTGAAAAAAGTATTTTTATCTCCTTGAATAGCTTTCAAGTTTGAAAGCTATTTTTGCTGGGTATAGAATTCTGGGTTCACAGTTTTTTTTCTTTCAGCATTTACAGATACCATTCGCCCTGGCTGGCATAGCTCAGTGGACTGAGCACGGGCTGCGATCCAAAGCATTGCAGGTTTGATTCCCAGTCGGGGTACATGCCTGGGTTGTGGGCCAGGTCCCCAGTGGGGGCCACATGAGAGGCAACCACACATTGATGTTTCTCTCTCTCTCTTTCTCACCTCTCTAAAAATAAATAAATAAAATCTTAAAAAATATACCATTCGATTGTCTTCCAGTCACATGACTTCTCTCATGCGAAGTCAGCTCTAAGTATTGCCTTTGCTCCTCTGGAGGTAGTGTGTCTTTTCCCTCTAGATGCCTTATCATCTTCTCTTTATCTTTGGCTTCCAACAGTTTGACTAAGTATCTAGGTCCTATTTTGTGTGTGTGCATATTTTCATTTGCATCTTTTCTCCTTCTGGGATTCAAATCACACATTCGTTAGCTCCTGGATGTTCTGTTCCTTTGCTTTGTCTTGTTTTGCTTCGATTTTCCTTCTCTTTCTGTTTCTATTCGGGTGTCTCTTGGTCTCTCTTCAAGTTCACTGATTCTTTCCTCAGCTGTGTTGAGTTCACGGAGGAGCCTGCCAAAGGCAGTCTTTATCTTTGTTACATGTTTTTAAAGTCCCTAGAATTTTCCATATGACTCTTTTTTTGTAGTCTGCACATCTCTGCTAAAACTTCTTTTCTGTTTATGCATGTTGGCCACGTTTCCCAACAGAGCCTTTCACATATCCTTATAATTGTTTTAAATTCGCTGTCAGATAACTCCAGAGGGCTACCCAGGTCTTCAGCCTGGTTCTGTCCATTACTTCGTCTCTTGACAATAGGGCTTTTGGGTGTTTTTTTTTGGGGGGGGGTTGTAAAGTTGCTTTTTGTTTATGTGTTGTTGTTTTTTATTGATTTCTGGACAGAATGTGTAGAGCATCAGAGACTGGGGACAATGTTATTTATGCCTAGAAATTGGTATATCCCTTCCTGGGCCATTGGTGTGCGGGACCGAGTCAGTCTTGTCAGGAGTTACACTAGGCTGAGTTTTGTTGTTTCCATGGTTACTTTCAGTATCTGCGGGCCCCCCCTCCACCCCGTCTCACACCGGCCACCCTGGGCTTTAGCCAGTCAGCACAACTGCAGCCGAACGCTTCTTGCCTGCCCGTCTGCAGACCTTGTCCTCCCCCTGCGTCACCAGCGTGCCAGCGCCTGCATCCAGTCTCTTCTCAGAGGCTCCTGTCCTTCTCTGGAATTCAGGTTAACTGGTTGCTCTGCAGCCTCATCTCCCTGATGGATTAGACAAAAGTTATCATTTTATAGATCACCTAACAATTAAAACAATTATTAGTGTGGTAATGATGCCCCTCCCGGCTTTCTGCACGTTAGGAGGAAACCAGAAGTCCCAGCCATCTAGCTTTTCGCTGCTCCTTCCAAGTCCTGTTGCCGCTCACCACTAGGCCCACTGCCTGGGGCTTCCTCTCGGCTGGCTGATGCCCTTCCAGCACAGCCCCCGAATTATTTACGGGTCGGTTGATTTCTTCCTGCCCCACCCATTCATCTGGCAAACATCTGGCAAAGAGCAGGGACAGAGGCTCCTGACCTGTTGCCACCCTGGGGACAGCTCAGAGCAATCCACGCAGCCCTGTCCCTAGGGACAAGCCTGAAGCCTGGGGCGGCGGCTCTGTGAGCTGAGTTGTTATGCACTGTCCTCCTGACTCGGCCTTATTCTTCTGTGCTGGGAAACGGCACCCCGTCACTACCCCGCCCACTGATGAGCAAGAATTGCACTGACCCAGACGCTCCCTGGAAGATGCAAACTGCAATGGGGTGAAGGGGGCAGGCCGGGAGCAGTGGTTGCTATAAGCACGGTCTCCGGAGGCAGCCTGCCTGGTTCAGATTCCAGCTCCATCACTCACCAGCTGTCTGGCCTTGGACGGGTCCCTGCACTTCTCTGCATCTTAGTTTCTGTATCTGTAAAATGGAAATAACAATAGTTCTCACCTCACAGGATTATTAAGAGGATTAGAACAGTCAACATATACAAAGTGCTTGTTAATAGTGACAGGTGTATAATAAGCTCCGTAGAAGTATTAACTATCAGGGAGGACTTCTACAATTTCAGAAATTTGTGAAACAAAGCAGTTTCTTCCCTTTCTCAGAACGCATTACAATCAAAACAGCTAATGTTCACTGAGCATCTCCAAAACGCCCAAGTCCTGTACTAGCATTTCATGTGAGTTATCTCATAAGATACAGAGATGAATTATTTGTATCTAACAGGTAAGGAAACCCTGGATCAGAGAAATAGAGTGTTTATGCAGCTGGTTGGATGCAGAGCTAGGTCTGCAACCCAGGAGGTCCTACCATCCGCATGCTGTTAACCATTACACTTGTTTCTTCTCATGAACTCGTTTCCTTGTTTGTAAAATACCGGGAAAGCAGCTTGCTGTGTTCATCTCAGAGTTGTTCTGAGACCCCAGTAGCAATAAAAGGGGCAGTGCCTTAGGGATTTCAGAGTGCTGGTCCCCTGACACGGAGACCTGAACGTGCCGTGAATTTTCACACTTCCATTCCTTTCCCCCCTTCTCTGTTTGTTGAACTCATTTCTTCAAAACTCAGCTCAGAGGAAGCATGAATGGTAGCACAAAATAGACAGATGGAGGTTGAGAATAGCATAGGAAATGGAGAAGCCAAAGAACTTACATGTACGACCCATGGACATGAACTAAGGGGGGGGGCATGCTGGTGAGCGTGGGGTGCAGGGCAGAGGGGAATAAAGGGGGAAAATGGAACAACTGTAATAGCATAGTCAATAAAATATACTTAAAAAAATCCTCAGCTCCGGAAAAAACCCTCAGATCAGGCCTAGATCTTACTTTGACCATGGAGAGATTTGAGCAGAGGGTGGCAGGTCCGACTTGCACTTTGAAACGACCCGGGCTGCTGTGTGGGGAGTGGAGTGCAGCAGTAGTCGGCCCAGCGAGCGCAGGAAAACCAGCTAGAACGCTGTTGCAGCAGCCGAGGAAGAGATGGTGGTGGGAACGCAGAGGAATGGTGGACTGGAAAGATGTTTAAGGAGGAGAATCGACAAGAAGTGAGTATGTATGTTAAGGAGGGCAGCGAAGGACGCGGAGGTGCCAAGGATGAGTCCTAGTTCTCGGCTTGCTCGAGGACGTTCGCTGACCCCGCAGCAGAAGCACCTCTGACTGACACCTCCCCCGCCCCGGCTTCTGAGGCTGCGAGCACACGAGGGTGGGTGCACGGGAGAAGGGAGAGAATGGGCACGGGCTCTGGGTCCCGGAACTGCTAAGTTGGACACCGGCACTGATCAGAGCCAGGAGGCGCTGCAAGGGGGCAAGCGTTTCCCCTCTGGGCCCGCAGTTTGCGCCGGAGCCTTCCATCCCCGCCAGCCTTTCTTAGCACCCCGCAGGAGTTGACTCTTCCCCGGCATCTGGGGGTGCGGTGCAGCGGCCCACCCCTGCAGCCCTGGCCCGCCCATCCCGGCGCCCAACCCGCCCAGTGCCCTAGTGCGCTGGAAGGCTGGGCGTTGGCTGTCCAGTCCTGGATCCGGGAACCAGGGGCTGCCGGGTGAGTCCCAGGGGCAGGGGGATCCTCCGCTGCAGTGCACCTGCCCTGACGGGCACCCCTGCGTGCCTCCCCTTCCTGCGGGGGGTCAGCCTCCCTTTCTCAGCACGCGCCCCCTCGGGATGTGAGCGCAACTACGTGCGAGTGCGACCGAGGGTGCCGGTGTGCGGGTTCGTGTCCGTTGCCTGCCCGGGAGTCCTGGAGCAGCAAGTGTGCGTGAGCCCGCGCGTGTCCCCGCGGCACGTCTGCGCCGCCGCTCCCGCAGCCACCGGTGGGGCGCGGCGAGCATGTGGAACCGAGCGCTCGGGCGGCGGCGGCGGCGGCGGATGGAGCGCAGGGAAGGCCGCCTGGGCGCGGGGAGGAAGGATGCGGGCCGAGAACTTTTGGGCCGCCCTGGAAGTCCGAGCTATCGCGCCCGAAGGGACTCCCCCACCGCCGCCCAGCGACGGGCGAGCGCGTGTGCCCGCCGCCGCCCCTCCCCCACTTCCGCCTCCCGCCTCTTCCTCGTTCCCGGCTCCCAGGGCCAGTGCGTCCCGGGGGAGACCCGCGGCGCAGCCCCACCCCGGCGGGCGGCTCGCTCCCACGCCCCCGCCGCTGTCTCGCCGAGCGGACAGACTGAGTCAGCCGGGGCGCCGGCGGCGCGGCAGGTAGGGGCTCCGCGGCGGGTGCAGGTGCCGCGGGAGGGCTGCAGTGTGTGGGGGACGCGAGCCCGGGAAGAACGGCCGGGGTGTGTGTGTGTGGGGGGCGGGGGGGTGCTCCATCGCTTCCCCTCCCTTCCCCCCGCGGACACAGCACGTCCCTTTTAGGGAATTCTTTCGCTCCCTCTGACTCCAGTGCGGGTGGGGCCCAGAGCGGGAGGGCCCCTGGCAGCCTCCTGCCCCCAGATCCCTTCACCCCTCTCCCCAGCACCTTGAGTCGCGTAAACAACTCCCTTCCCCTCTCCAGCACTCGGCCCTGTGCCCCCTCTCTCGGGGGTAGGGGAGCTCCTTCAGTCTTGTGGTACCGATCGGGTCGGGGAAGGGGAAAAGAGAAGGGGCGTCCCGGAGTCCCCGGTCCCTTTTACTCCCCTGCTCTCTCATTCGCCCTCCCCCAGCCGCTGCTACGGCGCTCGGCCTCAGGGGCCCGGGTATTTTTAGCGTTGTGACCTGGGCTGCAGATCTAAGAGCCTTTCCCAGGAATCAGCGTCAGCGCCTTCCTCCTCCGCCACCAGCCGCCACCAGCCCGCGGCCGGCCGCAAGGTCTCCCCACACTTCCTCGGCCCTGCCTAGCCCACTGGGTTCAGGTGCCCCGCGGCCCGCCCCAGCGCCTCCGGAGCTGACCAGGGTCTTGAATATGCGGAGTGCAGATGAGGCGGGGAAGGCGGTCTGCGGAGGAGGGTGGACTGGTCCTCAGGTTTGATACTTACTCCCTCGCCTCCTGCAATGGGCTCTGAGCCGAATGCCTGGAAGGAGACGGAGCGAACGCCAGTGAATGCAAAGGGCCTGGGCTGGCCCGGGGGCTCGGGTTCTGGAGAGCTCTCGGCACTGGGGGCCTGGTCCGAATTGGACCCAGGACCTGCCCTTCCAATTGCTACTCACTGACTAGTGGGGAGGTAAGACAGAGAGATGGATCAGAGGAGAAGAGTGTTAGGGGAGACGTCAGCGCAGATAAAGAGCTACTAGAGCACCCTCCCAGGCAGCGTCGTGTGTGTGTGTGTGTGTGTGTGTGTGTGTGTGTGTGTGTGTGTGGCAGGTAGAGTGCTTGTGCCACTTTTGGACAGGGAGACTGAAGCTAGAGAGATGATTTGCTTAGGCAAAGAGAGCCAGGTCTGGACGTCAGGCCTGTGGCTTCAGAGCAGGGTTTGGAGGGCATGAGGGTGAAGGTGAGGGGGTGCATGAGCATGGAGAGAGAAAGGAAGGGAGGGGGTACTTCGGCTAATGTCTGGGTTCTGAAGAAGGTGCAAGAAACAGAGCACTAGACAGAGGGGATCTTCCACCTGAGATCTCATCCTGTCCTCTGCCCTGGCCTCGGAGGAGTGGGTAAATGCCTCCCCCGTTTGGGCCGGAGCAGCCCCGCCAACTCCTCTCACACGGGCATGGTTCTGAGACTTGGCCGCTGGCTGTGTCCATCCCCTGAATACAGAGGAGCCTCTCTTGCCGTGCCTGGGACCGGCATCCCCTTTGTGGAGCCTGCGGGGTCAGCCCCGCCTCTGTATGACGCTTGACGTTTGTGGTGATGGACTCTGTTTTAGGGAAGGGGAAGGAGGAAGCCAAGCCCAGAGGTGTCCGGGCTGGAACCGGGGACCCCGCTCTGGAATGCTGGCTGCAGTGGGGCTCCCCAAGCTCCGGCCCCCACGGCATTGCCTCTCAACTTCATCGCCCACTCCCACCCTCCAGGAGCTGCCATGGACCCGAATGCTCGGGCGTCTCTGGAGCGCCAGCAGCTCCGCCTGCGGGAGCGGCAGAAGTTCTTTGAGGACATCTTACAGCCGGAGACAGAGTTTGTCTTCCCCCTGTCGCACCTGCATCTCGAGGCACAGAGACGTGAGTCCCGAGTCCGGGGGAGAGGGATTTAGGGAGGAAGCCTTGGAGATCTGGAACCGTGAGGGCCCCTCCCCTCTTGTTTTCTTGTCCCTCTGACCTTCTGTCCCTGGACCTGACAGGTCGCTCTGACCATCCTGTCGGCTCCGGCCGGGGTCCCCCTGACTCGGCCTTCTCGGTCTGCAGCCCCCATAGGTAGCATCTCGTCCATGGAAGTGAATGTGGACACTCTGGAGCAAGTGGAGTTCATTGACCTTGGGGATCAGGACGGAGCAGACGTCTTCTTGCCTTGCGAAGACCCTCCGCTGACCCCGCAGACGTCCGGTAGGCTCCTGGGCTGGGACCCGGGCACCGGTCGGCCAGGGTCGGCCAGGGTCGGCCAGGGTCGGCCAGGGCCGGATGCCGGGGCTCGGGAGTGTGGGCTGAGGAAGTGCCCCCACGGGGGCTGGCGGGGGCGAGTTCCCACCAGTGAAACAGCTGTCTGGTCTGATTTTAGGGAAGTTGACCGTGAGGCCAACTGGGTTGGATCTCCAATCGAAAATTCTAAGAATGCCCAACCCCCTCCCTTAGCCTGGTTAACTTGACACTTGTGAATTTAATGAAATCAAAATGACATAAAAGTGTAACTTCTACATTGGACAACTCAGCAGTTTCAGTCACCTTAATACGGTATTTACTGAGTGCTTTAGTAAGTTTCTAACGCTGACTGAAATACTTTACATTTACTATCTCAGTCCTTACCAATGCCCTGTTAGGGCAGGTAGTTTTAGCTCCATTTACGAAGAAGGCCGTCAGGCTCGGAGGAGTCGTCACACAGCCGGAAAGTGGGGCGGCTGGGTTCGAACCATGGCCTTCTGACTCCAAAGCCATGTACTTGTAAGGCAGATATTCTCTTGCTTACAGCTGCTGCTCTTAATTGATAGCCTACTGCTACGTGCCAGGCATTTTATAAGCTTTACTAGATTTCACCCTCAAAACTCTTCTGGGATGTAGGATCCCTTTCTTTCCAGAGAAGGAGCACAGTCCCTGTGAGAAAAAGCGGCTTGCTCCAAGCCGCTAAGTAAGTAAGTGACGTAGGCGGAGCTTGGAACCTTGAATTGATTGACCTGACTCTGGAGCCCAGACGTGATCCCAGGAGGACAAGGAGCTGGGAGTCAGGAGACCTGGCTGTTTGCTAGACTGGCTGCGTGACTTTGGACGAGGCCCTGCGCTTGTCCGGGCTTCAGTGTCTCCTGGCCAGAGAGTCTGTCCCTGAGAGTCCTCCAAAGCCCCGTTGGCGGCCCTGATCTGCTCTTCTCTCTGGGCAGGGGTGGACGACCATGCGGAGGAGCTGAGCCTGCCCATGCGCACGCCAGACAGGACCACCTCCCGCACTTCTTCCTCGTCTTCTGACTCCTCCACCAGCCCGCACAGCCCGAACCCCAGTGACGGCGGCGAGGACACGCCCTTGGCACAGTCTGACGTGGAGGAGGATGGGGGCGCGGGGGACACCGAGCCTGGAGCCTGCAGCTAGCAGCGGGCACCCCCGCCTGTGGACTGACCGAGCTGACTGCTCTCCGCAGGAGACCCCAGGCCCAGCCAGAGCTCTTCAGAGAAGACCAGACTCTACCTGTAGTGGGCACCGGAGGGAGGAAGGGATGGTGAGACGGCGCACCTCCCTGGGAGCTGGGAGCTGGGAGCTGGCCCTCTCCTGTGTGATCGCTGCCCTTTTCCTGCTGCAACCCTCCCACTAGCTTTCGGCTTACTCCCGAGGTAGAGCTTGTAGGCAAGGAGGTGGAGATGAGGTAGGACAGGACGCCACTGCCTTTCTTAGCGCCCCTCCCCCAGACCACCCTTGCAGCCTTCTAACCGGCTCCTCCACCGGTGTCTCCCAATTGGCGTGAACTCTCTAGCACCAAGTGCGGTGGTGACTCCAGCCACCCCGCCCGCCTCCTTACGTCCTTTTTTGGAATAGGGCACCGTATCAATAATAAACAAATAACAGTATACCAACCACATCAAAGCCACTCTTTGTTTAGCCCTGTCACCAAGACGATGTGCCTCTTTCGTTCACTCCATTTATTCCAGACATACTGGCTGGACACCGGGCTGGGCGTTCGGAGTACAGTTTGGATGAGAGCGGCTGCGCCCCGCCTTCACGGAGTTAACGGTCCCTGCGGGAGGACGTGAACTCAGTGGCACGGTTCACAGTGTCATGAGTAGCATGACAAGGAGCTACTCTGGTGCCAGAAAACGGGGGCGTCTTAACCTCGCTGGTGTGGTTGTCAAAGAGCTGGTTTTCACACCGAAATCCAAAGGGTGAGTGGGAGTGAGCGAGGTGGGGGCCGTGTTCCAGGCAGAAAGAGCAGCTCGGGACACTTTAACTGCAGAGAAATGGCTGTGGGGAACTGAAGAGCATTCGGCTCGGCTGAGTTGTCAGATATGAGGAGATAAAGGAGAATAAGATTGACGATGGTCGAGTCATAAAATGCTTAGAAGCCTGCATCATTTCAGTCTGCCTGCCGGTAAAATATCAATATGTCCTTATCGAAAAGAACCCCAAGCACAGGGCTGTGCGGCTGCTCCGTAGTGGGCGCCAGGGTCCTGGCTGGCTCTTTTTGCTCAGCCGCTCCAGGCACGTGGCTCGAATTCTCTTCCACACTTCGTGTCTAAGGTGGCTGTTGAAGCCCCCGCCACCCCGCCCTTGAAACTGGCAGAGAGCAGGAGAAGAGATCGGGGATGGGCAGAGCACACCCCGCTGTCCATCCCCACATCAGGAAGCAATTTTGGAGGGTCTAACCGGTACCATTCCACTCTCATCTCATTGGCCGGCACTCACTAACACAAGATGTTTTACTAACTAACGACACTTCATAGACACAGGGACAGGGCATTATAAGAAAGGAAATTCTAGCCTTCGAAAAGGTGACCCTTTCAAGTCGCTGAATTGCCAATGCATCCGACTTCTGTTCTGCCTTTTAAACCTCTCAGAAGCATGCTGCCTCCTGAGAAGGAGGGCTGGGGGTTGTGTTTTAGTAGGGACATTGCTCTCTTGATAAGATCAGGGTTATGTTACTACGGAACAAGAGCACGGCCGTCTTTGGATAGGTAACTAGCAGTGTACATGTTAGAGGTCACGTTAATGAATTTGAACTCTGTTGGGAACAGGTGGTCGCATTTGCTTGTTAAAAAGAGCATTCTGGCTGCCATGTAGAGAGTACACCAGAGGAGGACACAGTCCAGACAGACTTGGAACAACGCAGTCATCCGTGCAAGGCACGGCAGTGCCCCTGAAGATGGTGGCGATGATCAGCTTAACTGGGTGGTGTAACAGATGACATTCACATTAGATGTCGGGGCTGGACCCGTGTAAGACACTGAGCGTGGCCTTGGGAATGTAGTGGTGGCAAAAAAAAAACCCCCAAAAACCAGCCTTGCTCTTACAGAGTTTAGTCTCATGGAGGCCAAATGTAAGACTGCAGCTCTGACTGGTGCTAGAAAGGCGTTAACGGCTTACTCAGAGAGGTCACGAGGTGTCTCCCTTGAGGAAGTGGCATTTGAGCTGAGATCAGAAGGATGAGTAGAAGTCAGCCAGGAGGAGAATGGCGCCCCAGGAGCCCTGGCCGGAGGGGGCCCAAGCGGAGCAGAGGTCTGGGATGGCAGCCACCTCGCTGAGAGGGGACGGCCTAGGGAGGGGCGAGGGCGGTCCATAGAAAAGTGGAAGGAATGGAGGGAGATTTAGGAGGCAAATTCTGAAAGGTTTGATAGGGGGCTGCGAGAGGGGAAGGGATCTCCAGCGCCACCTTTGTTCCTGCTCTGCACAGCGGGGTGGGGTGCGGGTTTCTTCACCCGGGTGGGGAGTTTGGGAGAGAACCAGGTGTGGGAAGAGGGTCACGAGTTTGGTTTTGGACGTGAGTTTGAGGTGCTTTTGAGACGTGCAAGGGGTCACACTGAGCAGGCAGCTGGACCCAGAGTGTAGGATTTAGAGGAGAGCGTCGGTGGTAAGTGTGTAGGAGACGAGTGAAGCCACGGGTGTGAGTGTGTGGAGTGTGAGAAGGGCTTGTAGCCTCCGGGCTGAAGAGGAACTCGAAGTCATTTCGCACGCTACACGAACCAAACCATCCTGCCCAAGGACCAGGGACCTGCAGCCTAAATCCCAAAGCCCTTTGTGGCCCCCAGGCTGAGTGACAGGGCTGGAGTCCTCCCACAGTCCCACCCTGCCTTCATCCCTGCGGGAGGCCATTGTGAGTGACAGTTCTTAAGCGCTTTTCCTAGCGCTAGGGAGGAACTTGGGGGAGTTTTGTGTTCCTTTTGTCTAAAAGCCTCTGTGTCCAAGTTGAGATCATCCCCTAAGCTGGGTGAGGGCCCAGTCTGGTGTTAAATTGTATAGTTTCTCTGGGTTGCTCATGACTCTGCTGCACACATGGTCTTTGTCCGTTGTCCTTTTGTGCCCTCTCCCTCTGGAGCAGCCGGGCTCAGCCTCCTGTCTGATTGTGGCTGAGCCTCCTCCCGGCTGTGGCCCGTGAGCTCTGCAGTTTGGCTGTGCAGGGGCTCTCAGCTCCCGGGATCATCACCCCACTACCTTCCAAGATGAGTGATGAGAAGCTACACTAGCTTGATTGCTGTCAGCTTGCCAACAAACCTCTCAGCATCCCAGGCGTGTGATGCCCGGGTCTGTGGGGTTTGGGGCAGAGAGCCTGCCTGGGGAGAGGGGTCTATCCACAGTTCTCCAGAGAGGCAGAATTGTTTGTGAGCCCATGGGGAGCCTTGAATTCAGCTGCTATAAATCGCAGCCCTGCCTGGAAAAGTCTAGGGTCAGCTGATACACCAGGACCACTTCCTGGTTGGACAATGACCTCCTCTTCTGCCAAACCACAGGGGCCTGGCTGGCCTTCAGAGCCCGCAGCTCCAGCTGTCTGTTTCTTGAGGCGGCAGAGTGCCCTTGGAGATGGGAGGATGATTTGGAGCGAATCCCAAGGCAGGCAGCCCAGCTTCTGGTCTCTAAGCCACAGCGTGGCTTCTTCTGTCTGTTGCACAGACTTAGCTTAGACTCTGGAAAGAGGGGAAGAAGACGAACTCATGCTGTAGACTCCTGTGTGGGGAGGAAAGGGGAGGGACCACAACGCAGAGGAAGATTCCTTGGAGGGCCCACACTGTAGCAGCCCCTAGGAGTGCACAGGACTCGACACTGAACAGCACGGCGGTGCGGGGCAGCCAGGAGCCGTGCTGTGATGTCGTCTTGTGTGTTCATTCATTCAACATTACTGAGCGCCTGTTGCACCATATGCCAGCCTCCTTGCTTGGGCAACAGAAATACTAAGGTGACCAAGGATTCTTCCAGGAGCAGCCATGGCCATGGATAATGGAAGGACAATGTGGCCCACAGCAGAAGTGTAGAGAGAGCTGTTGCACACTAGAGCGGGAGAAGTCTTCCCTGGAGGTCACTGGGTCTTGAATGATGGGGACAGGCAATTTCAAAAGGAAAGAAAGCCATAGAATCACAAAATCATAATCAGAGTGATGGCAGCTGCTTTTTTGAAAAAAAAAAAAAAATTGAGGTTGATAGTGTGACCTCTAGTCCTGGCTTCATCACTCACTGTAATCTGAAACAATTATCTCAGTTTTCTCATCTCTAGAGTGGAGACAATAGTACCCACCTCAAAGAGGTGTTAAAGAGTAAATGCTATCAAGCACTTACCACATTCCAGATCCTACGAGTCCATGTAACCCTCACAACAACCCTGAAAGTAGGGTTACCCCCTTTACAGAGTAGGGAGAGGGGCACGCTGCTCATGCTCCTGTGGATCGATGGCTGGTGTGGGGATTTGAACCCATGTCTGTCTGACGTCTAAACTCGTGGCCTTCCTCCTGTTCCACATCTAGTGGGACAGGAACACTAGATGTAAGTAGGGTGAAATCCTAATGATTGAAAGACACCTTTTGACACTTTCTCTCTGGTGGGTTGGGGTATATCTTGGCAGACCTGCTTGACACCAAATTTGGTTCTTCATAGAGACATGGTTGTGGGTTTTACCAAGAGACTGTGTGTAAAATGCTTCGTGAATGTGTTCCCATAGAGTAGCTGAAAAACCTAAAGCAGAAATCGAACACTGGAACCCCTACAACTCAATAACAAAAAGGCAAACAAGCCAGTAAAAAAAAAAAAGGGAGGGTGCAAAAAGATTTTAACTGAGTTTTCACGGAAGGAAATACATGAATGGCCAGTAAGCACATGAATAGATGCTCAACAGCATTAGGTACCAGGGAAATGCAAAGTAAAACCATGATGAATATCACTACACACATTCTGACATAGCTAAAATGAAAAAAAAATGTTGAACAGGAACTCATACATTGTTGATACATGTAAAAAGATACATTTTGGAGAAAGGTCTGACAATTTCTTGTAAACACAGACTTGGGGTGGTGAGCACACAATAGAGTGTACAGATGATGATTTGTGGTTTTGTGCACCTGAAACCTGTATGCCAGTGTCACCCCAATACATTCAATAAAAAAGGGAAAAAAATAAACTGTGAAATTTTAAAAGGAGGAAAAAAATAATACTAGTGACTAGATTTGAATTCCCAATAAGAGCAAAGTTTATTTTTCCTACAGAGTTCTAGTAGAAATTGTCATATTTTGAATAAATACTGTATAATATTTGTGACTTAGAATCAGATTTAAAATCTTATCTTTTGATGCAACAAGCAGTCGAGCTTTTTCCAATACTCAGGACAAGCAAAGGAAGTTGGTACCAACCTTCCTGGGCCAGAGAAGGTCCACCCAACATGCTCCACCTAGAAACATCTTGAAAACAAATTGACTCCCAGATCCTCCCATTTCCCTTGGTTACGGCGGTCACAACCTGTTGGCTTAAATCCTGTGAACTATTGGAGCTACACCCCCAAGCAGAAGAAAATAAACGAGGTGATCCTGATTTATTTGAATTGTAATAAAAACATAGCAAAGAATCCCGAAACTTCTGCAACAAGGTTCATCTCAGCTGAATGCATGCTGGTCTCTCACTGGGGGAGAGTCTCGGTAAAGAGGCGGGGACCTGGCTTTACTCCAACTGCACCACCAGCCTGCTGTGGGTGCATTGTGGTCGTGCCATTTCACTTACCCTTTGCTCAGCTTTAATTTCTTTAGCTGAACAATATCATCTTTAATGTCTTTGTTAGTCCTAAAATAATATGACTTGATGCTTGTAACTGTGGATCGGGCAGTTTGAATAGGCCTGTTGCCCAAGAATAAACTGGCAAGAAAAACAAATTAAACACACACCTAACGTACTCTTTTCTACTAAATATTTACCCAAGGTGTCTGCAAAGTAAATTGTACAGCAGTCTAGTTCATAATAACTAAAAACTTGAAAGAGCTCAGGCCTCCATCAACAGGATAATGAATAAACTATGATATATTCATATGATGCAATATTACACGATAAAAATAAATGGCCAATACACACAAGAACATGATTTTCAAAGACATCCCTGCCATGAAAGAAACTTTACACAGACATACACATACTGTGTGATGACTTTATTTATATGAAGTTCTAGAACAATTACCTTATTCTATGAAGGAAAATCAGCACAGTGGTTGCCTCTGGAAGGTGGGGAGGGGCAGGGATTGATTGTCAAGGGGACATTAGCCAGCTTCTTGGGGCTTTAGGAATGTTGTCTTCTTAGGAGTTTGCGTACACAGGTGTATGTACTCGTCAGACTCAATGAACGTGCACCTCCGAGTTGTAAATTTCATTGTATTATATGTAAATTCAACACCAAAAGAAAAATGTAAACAAATATTGAACTCTAGTTCATATTATGCATGCTGAAATATTTAGGGGGAAGTGTGCTTCTGTCCGCCGTTTCCTTTGAAATGCATTAAAACATACAATGAATGGAGGGATTTACAGACCCATGTGATGAAATATAGAAAAATGTTAACGGTGAAGTCTAGGTGATGGGGAAGCAGGTGTTCATTCAACTTTGCTGTATGTTTGAAATTTTTCACATGAAAGGACAGTTATTTGAGGGCTTTGCGGGAAAGCTCGGCCACCAAAGGAGCTGGTTAGTCTTAGGACCGAGCAAACGGAGACACTAGAAGCTGAAGAAAGGCAGGAGCAAAGCCCTGTTACCTCACAAAAGCGATGAACCTTTTTCAGTGTTTTCTCAACTATTACATAGGGACAATAGTAGTGGCGGCATTCGGTATTATTGAGCATTTCCTCGTGTGTGGGAATACCTCCAAGTTGGAGATCCTCCGCCCTTCGTACCCTTCCTGCGCAGCCTTAGACTCTGTAGCCCTAAAGAGGCTAGCGGGGCCGTTGCTCCGGTAACCGCACCCCGATTTCCGGGATGACACCGGAAGTCACTCCTTACTCGCTCTTCCTATTGGAGGCCGGCCCCTCGTGGGGGCGGGCACTGTTGGGGGGCGGAAGGAGCCGCAGGAATGGCGGCGGCCCAGCCGCTCGTTCTGTTGGTGCTTCTGCTGCTGTGGCCGGGCGGCTGGGGCCATGCAGAGGCCCCACGCGACAGCCTGCGGGAGGAGCTCGTCATCACCCCGCTGCCTTCTGGAGATGTAGCAGCCACATTCCAGTTCCGCACGCGCTGGGATTCGGAACTGCAGCGGGAAGAAGGTGAGAAAACGAGACCGGCCGGAGATTGATATCTGTGACACCTGCTGGAAGTGGGTGGGGTCAAGCCTGGGGGGCGGGGCCTAGTCCCTGGGTGGGGTCCTGGCCCGTGGGCGTGAACCGGACAAAGTGGGTCCCTGGGGGAAGGATGGGTTATTGGAGAACCCCATTATACCGTTGTTGAAACTAAGGTTTGGAGAGGGGCAGCGACTCCTAGTCTAGTTCCTTCCGCAGCTCCAGGCTGCCACTCTACACCTTTAATTAGAACGCTCTGTCCACAACACTGATGATGATGTCGTTGACGGTTACCATTTATGCTGGGTGCATAGTGCTAAGTTCTGTGCAAGACTGCTAAGAAGAAATTAGAGGTGTAGAGAGGTAAAAGCAGTTGTTCAAAATCACATCTCTGGTAAGTAAATGACAGTCTGGTCTGGAATTCAGATCTCTCCGATCCCGGAGTCTGAGGTCTGCTGTTTCTTTGGGGTGGCTGAGAAGCCTCCTTCCAAGGATCATCCCTCACCTGCTTCGCCTTTTCCAGTTTCTCATTATAGGCTCTTCCCCAAAGCCCTGGGGCAGTTGATCTCCAAGTATTCTCTCCGGGAGCTGCACCTGTCACTCACACAAGGCTTTTGGAGAACTCGATACTGGGGGCCACCCTTCCTGCAGGCCCCCTCTGGTGCAGAGCTCTGGGTCTGGTTCCAAGACACTGTCACTGAGTGAGTGCCCACCTTGAGGCCTATTGCAGGCCATGAAGGGAATGTGGCAGGGAAGGTGTTGTCAACTTGCCACTGCCCTTGGGGGCAGCAGTTGCTGTAGGCAGTAATTCCATGGGGGTAAAGCAGCCTTGGAAGGAAGCAATGATGTGACTACTGAGTGGCGTGCTTTATTTTGCTGAAAATACTTCCTTCCCCTACTACTTCCAGACCTGAGGCAACGCATGCATATCTCTGCGGAGGCGGATAACAAATCATGGAAGCTTATGGGGATTGTAACACGGGTGTGCTAGAATTGGCCTATAAGATGCCAGACCTCCATATTAAAGGAGTTGCTTTTGTTTGAGAGGGATGAGGCTAGGTACTGCTGTTGCACCACAATTTCTTCTTAAATCCACTATGGGAAATCAATAGCACAAGTATGAATTTTTAAAAAATTTAGGGCAGTAGTCCTGGCTGCTGTGGCTCAGTGCATTGAGTGCCAGCCTGCGAAGCAAAGGGTCGCCGGTTCAATTCCCAGTCCAGGCGCGTGCCTGGGTTGTGGGCCAGGTCCCCAGTAGGGGGAGCAGGAGAGGCAACCACACATTATTGTTTCTTTCCCTCTCTTTCTACCTCCCTTCCCCTCTCTCTAAAAATAAATACGTAAAACCTTTTTTAAAAATTTAGGACAATAATAGAGAGTGGTGGGGATTGTGGCAGGCTAGAGAGCTTGAGGGGACAGCTGCCAGTCATCCCCTATGGACTGTTGCCATGGGAACAAAGGCCCATTGTTATAAGATACTCCCATTTTTAAAGAGATATCAGGTATCTGGATTTCAGCGTGAAAGTTGGCAAATTTAAATACCAGCAAGGAATTTAAAAATGTAAGACACGCCGAGTGGGTCACTGTAGTGCACGCCAGATGAAACATGGTTCTGGTTTGGGCAGAGTGTCAGGCCACAAGCGTGCAGTCTTCATTTGAGGCTTAAGACTTGGAACAGCTGAAAAGCTCTGAACAGAGGATTATCGAAACACCCCAGGACAGCACTTAGGTGATATCAAGCGGGGAGCCAGCAGGGACCCCACAAACTTGCCAAGCCTCTGCCTGAACGCGGGCTCCTTGCCTTCTTCCCCGTCTGCTCTGCTGTCACGGCGCCCCCTTGGCTTGTAACTGCCTGTGCTATGGAGCCGATGTTTGGATTTCTGGTTTTATGCTCTCTGTGGCTAATATAGAGATCAAATCTGTTTTGATATTTCTCTAATGAAAAAAACTCCTAATTTAATTTGATGGGGTTTTTTTCTTTATCCTAGAATGCTTGTTTTCTCTTGTTCACTGAGTATGTTTAGATGTAAGACTCCCACCCTGAAGCTAGAACCAGGACTCACCTTCCTGCCCAGGGTGTTCCCAGGGAAGTGTGTTCTTTGCCCAACTGAGCACAGCTCAGAGCGGATCAGCGACCGTTGTCAGGTGCGGGGCACTTTACGCGGCGTTGTGAGACAACACAAAGGGGACTCAGACTTGCTCTCTGTCCTCGGGCTCCTGTAAGCCTGGTTGAGGAGAAACAACGCTTAGGACGAGGTGCTGCCATCACCCCAGGAGGGACTTAGGGAGAGGCTCAGGTGGTCAGACCCACAGCAGTGCAGGTGGAGGCTGTGGTTGAGGAGGGCAGAAAGGCTTCCTGGAGGGGGGAGCCTCCTTGAAGGTGAGCAGAGAGTAGGGCATTCCCAGGCAGGAGGGGACACGGGAGCAAAGACCTGTGTGGCTGCAGCGCATGAGGAGGAAGGGGCTGAGCGGGGCCGTGGTGGTGCTCCAGCTCCACCCAGTAGCCAGTCTGAGGCTGTGGCAGTCCGTGCAGGCTTTGAGGAGGGAGCGGAGGCAGCCCGGGACAGTGAGTGGGTATGTGTCTCCATCCAGTGTGGACAGATCTTGGAAGGAGCTCAGCAACGTCCTCTCGGGGATCTTCTGCGCCTCTCTCAACTTCATCGACTCCACCAACACGGTCACTCCCACTGCCTCCTTCAAACCCTTGGGGCTGGCCAATGGTGAGAAGCCCCCGCGGTCCTTCCCTTCTTCCTGTTACTGTTTGCCTAAACCTTCGCCTCCTTTCCCCTCAGCTTCCTCTTTCCTCAGTGGGGCTAGATCATGGCTCCCCTGGGGGTGGGGGCCCCAGAAGAAGGCTTCCTGAGACCGGGCTGTCTCTGCATTGCCTTCTCCCAAGGGGAGGAGCGGGTCCCGCTCCCAGCTGGGCTGTTAGGGTGGTGGCTCTAGAGGGGTGTGTGGGGAGAAGGAGGGGCCACCCCATAACTAGCGTGTGGGTCCTGAGGAGTGGGGCCCGAGGCCCAGCGCGGACAGACCGTTGTCCCCCTCAGGCACCGATCACTACTTCCTGCGCTACGCTGTGCTGCCGCGGGAAGTGGTCTGCACCGAGAACCTCACCCCGTGGAAGAAGCTCTTGCCCTGCAGTTCCAAGGTGAGGCCAGAGCGGTCTGAAAAGAGGGTGGGGTTGGCAGATGCCCTTTCGTTGCCAGGCAGCCAGGTGTCTTTACAGATAACCTTTGCCACGTGCCCAGGTGCCCTGGGCCCTGACCTTTGATTTCTTCCTGCCTCCTCCAGGCAGGCCTCTCCATGCTGCTGAAGGCCGACCGCCTGTTCCACACCAGCTACCACTCCCAAGCAGTGCACATCCGCCCTGTTTGCAGAGTGAGTCATCGGGAAAGGGGGCGGGTGCCATCCGGAGGCTCTGAGAGAAAGTGCAGGGGAAGCACGTGGCCCAGGGTCTGGGGGAGGGCTGAGCCCATAGTAAGTGGTGGATAGCAAGTGGATAGCGTGATGACTTCTCGGGGCATTGGCCACGCACCAAGGAAAGCGAGTGGTTGCCTGGCGAGCATTCAATAAATCTTTGTCACGGAGCATAGCGATTCAAAATAGCTATGAGGTGCACCTGCCAGCGCCGTTACTCGCCAGCTGGCGTGACCTTGAGCGAATCCTTTTGTTTCCCTGAGCCTGGTTTCCCCATCTGTCCGATGAGTAATGGTAGTAGTAGTTCTGTGGCTGCCAGCAACGGTTCACCTGATGGACGCACGTGAAGCTGCTTGCACAGGGCCAGGTGCTCAGCAGTGAGCAGTAGCAAACGGGCAGGTGGGAAGACGCGTCGTAGACAAGGGACCGAGTCACGGTGGGAGTCCCTGAGGCTCTGTGGCTGGAGCGATAGGTCCTCACTGCCATTGTCTGGTCCTCGTGGTAGAATGCTCGCTGTACCAGCGTCTCCTGGGAGCTGAGACAGACCCTTTCCGTTGTGTTCGACGCCTTCGTCACGGGGCAAGGGAAGAAAGGTGAGCCCCCTTAGCAACTCATCTCTGCCCGCCCGTTGCCAGCCCCGCCCCGTGTGTGCGGACAGGCCTGGTCCCAGCCCCTGCTCAACCCCGCTGTCTGCCCCTCAGACTGGTCCCTCTTCCGGATGTTCTCCCGAACCCTCACGGAGCCCTGCCCCCTGGCTTCAGAGAGCCGAGTCTACGTGGATGTCACCGGCTACAGCCAGGTACCCCGGTCTCCAGCCACACACACCGCCCCCCGCCAAGGCCAGCCTGCCCCTCTGCTCACCTCTCAGCCCTGCCCTTGTGTCCCCAGGACAATGAGACTTTGGAGGTGAGCCCGCCCCCGCTCACCACGCACCGGGACGTCATCCTGGGCACTCAGAGGACCTATGCTGTCTACGACTTGTTCGACAAGGCTGTGATCAACAGCTCCCGCAACCTCAACCTCCAGCTCAAGTGGAAGAGACCCCCGGACAATGGTGGGTGAGGGTGGGCCGCTGCAGGCTGAGATGAGGTCCCCTGGGGAGGACTCACCGTCCTGCCTCCTCACCCCGAGATAACAGCCTGGCGTCCAGGCGCAGATCTCCGGAGTCAGCCCCCGGGTTCCAGCTCCGTTTCTTTAAAGCTCTCTGGCTGTGGGCAGTCTCCTGACCTCACCGGGTGAGGTCATCAGTTTAAAATACGGAGTTTGTTTATGCATTCATGTAATCAACAAATCTTTTCTGAAGACAGAAGACACCCTGCATTTGAGAATCGTAAGACATCGGACGATTTTAATGACATCCGTGTTCAGTGCTACCAAGGGGAAGTGCAGAATATCACTAGAGCACCTGGTTTGGGTTGCAAGGGGCACAGAGCTCGGCGTATATAAATATTTAGGAAATAACAGTAATTCTGTTGTTGCTATTAGCTGGGGAACAGGGCATGATTCCAGAATGCGAGTTTCCCAGTTGTGATGGAACAGCTCTCCCCCGCCCCCTCCCTGGCTGTGAGACTCTGAATGGGGCCTGGGGCGTGGGGGTGGGGAGAGACGCTCTCCTTTGGGCACTGTTAACCGCTGGCTTCGGTCTGCGCAGAGGCCCCGCCAGCGCCCTTCCTGCACGCGCAGCGGTACGTGAGCGGCTACGGGCTGCAGAGCGGGGAGCTGAGCACGCTGCTGCACAACACCCACCCGTACCGGGCCTTCCCCGTGCTGCTGCTGGACACCGTGCCCTGGTTCCTGCGGCTGTACGTGCACACCCTCAGCATCACCTCCAAGGGCAAGGAGAACAAACCAAGTGAGAGCGGAGTCCCCCCACCCCTACTCCCCCGCTGTCTCCCCAGAGTCCCCACACCCCCACTTCTAGGGTAGTTCCCGGAGCCTATAACCCGGAACACCTCACGGGCAGAGGGAGTTCAGAATAGTTGGCCAAGTGGGAAGGGCGGCCCCACCAGTGACGAAGACACACGGTACTGGCAATTCTCCGTAAGACCTCAGGGGGGCAGCAATTACCTCCCACCGGCCCCTCCCAGGCGCTCCTGGCAGTCTTTCCCCTTGAGTCACCGGCCCTTTCCCCTGCAGGGAGGGTTGGCCGGAACAGCGGAGGACTGGGGACAAGGAAGGTGACAGACCTGGAGATGGCTTTGCTGCCCTGGGAGGGAGGGAGCGTCGTTTTTAAATTTTACATTTATTTTCTATCATTTTCCTGTAGCGGAGTTACTCTGTCCTGATTGCTTTCCGTCAGGTGCCAGGCACAGCGCTCTCAAGAAGGCACTCGTTTCTCTCCGGAGAGGAGAGAGACTAATGCCGCGGAAAGGGCTTCTTAGGGAGAGGCTGTGGCACAGTCCACACGGCCAGGCCTGCCGTCCCCTTTAGTTGCTGTGCCGTTTCCGTATTTTCAAGGCCGTGGTTAATAGTTTTACTTACCTTCGGCACCACTGCTTGCACCGCCTTCAAAGATCTGCTTCAAACGTTGTGCCTGTGTGTTTTGTGGGGCTTGTTTTGACCTTTTGCTCTGGAAAACTTCAGACACGCGCCCAAGTGGAAGAGTAGAACCCACCCCCCTGTCCCCACGGGCAGCTTCCTCTTTCTTGTTTCACCCCTCCCCCTCCCCTCCTTTTTTCTGTTTGATTGTTTTGCTCCTGGAGTATCTTAAAACGAGCCCTAGCCATCACGCCAGTTCACCGTTAAATGCGGTACTTCAGTGTATTTCTCCAACAGACACAGGACTCAAAAAACATGGGGCCTGTCATTCCTGTCCCTGTTTCCCCAAAGGTCTTGAAAGTAGCTGTTTGTGATTCCTTCGCTTAAGTCAGGATGCAGACAGAGTCCTCCCGCTGCATTTGCATGTGCTCTTCAGTTTCTCTTTTTCTCTTTTTAATCAGCAGAGCCTTTTTTAAAAGAGCAATTTTGAGGTTACAGAAAAATGGAGCAGAAAGTACAGTAGTTCCCACCCACGTCCTTGGCCCCCCGCCAGCTTCCCCTGCTGTTAGCCTCTTGCATTGGGGTGGCCCTCCTGAGTCTCTTCAACTCTGCGGCGGTTCCCATTCTTTTTAAAATTTTTTTAATTGTACTTGTTGGGCAGAGCGGGCCATCTGTTGAATGGAATGTGCTCTGTCCTGGGTTTGTCCTCATGTCGGTGTTGAACGTGTCCCTCTACCGCCCACATTTTCGGGGCGTTAGTCGTCAGTGTGAGAGGCCGGATTAGACTCGGGTCCTCTGTGTTTGGCAGAAAAACGTCCGGGGCGGCCGTGTGAGTCTCCTGGTGCCCGCCGCCCAGTTTCCGTGCTGTAAAGACGTAGTTGTCTGCCCGGGACGGCTGCCCTGGGAGCATAACGTTCCTTTTTTGAGACCCTACTCCCTTTGCCGAACCTGCCTGCTCCTCTGACTCGGAGCCCACCTCCGGGCGCCAGACCCAGGCCTCGGGGCCTCAGAGGGGCCTCAGCAGGGTGGTGGGGGGTGCAGGGCGTCTGACCCCAGGAGGGGGGTGTGGTGACGTTTGGGCCCCGCCCATCTCCAGGTTACATCCACTACCAGCCGGCCCAGGACCGGCTGCAGCCCCACCTCCTGGAGATGCTCATTCAGCTGCCCGCCAACTCGGTCACCAAGGTCTCCATCCAGTTTGAGCGGGCTCTGCTCAAGTGGACCGAGTACACCCCGGACCCCAACCACGGCTTCTATGTCAGGTAGGTTCGCGCCCCGAGGGCTGCCCCTGCCCCCCGACCCACCGTCTCTGCCGCCAGCCCGGGCGGGGGCCAGGGAGAAACACGCCTCACCGAACGCCCGCCCGTGTCCCTGCAGCCCGTCCGTCGTCAGTGCCCTCGTGCCCAGCCTGGTGGCAGCCAAGCCTGCGGACTGGGAAGGGAGTCCCCTCTTCAACAGCCTGTGAGTGCGACGTCGGCTGCCGGTTCGGGGCGCACCAGCGCGGGTGATGTGGGTCCCGCGGGCGCGCTGGGGCTTGGTGCGGCTGCCCCGGCCCGTGGGGGTTGGTGTAACTGAGTCCTAATGAAGGCTCCGGTGGTCTGCAGTGTCCCTGCAGACTTTATAAAGTGACTCGGGAGGGCGTCTGGAAGGATAAGTAGGTGAGAAGAGCAGTATTCACAGCCTGCATTGACTCACCCACGATGATTTTGTTGAGCACTTACCAGGTGCCAGGCACTTCGGAGGAGGCTTGGCCGCCCAGCGGGGAGCAAACAGAGGTGCCCCCTGCCTGGCAAACCCTGACGGTCCAGAGGGGAGCGTCTGTGCTAGAGCGCGGTGGGGCCGGGGCGGGGCTGGGAGTGATCTGGTGGGAGACCCAGGGCGGCTTCTCTGAGGAGGCGGCCTTTAGGCAGAGACCAGGAGGCTGAGGAAGGGGCAGCCGAGCGCAGGCAGGGCCCCTTCCCTCGCCCTTGGCGGGAGGCAGCTGTCCGTCAGCGTCCCGGGTCGGGCCTTCCGCTGTCTTCTGTCGGAAAGGTTTGGAAAGCCTTGGAAAGCCTTACCGTCAGGCACTGGCCCAGTGCAGCCGGCCCCAGGGGTGTGGGGGTCGGGGGTGAGAGGGCAGGAGCAGGGGGCCCGCCTCACCACTCCCTCCTGACCCGCAGGTTCCCGGTTTCCGATGGTTCCAGCTACTTCGTGCGGCTCTACACGGAGCCGCTGCTGGTGAACCTGCCGACGCCAGACTTCAGCATGCCCTACAACGTCATCTGCCTCACGTGCACTGTGGTGGCCGTGTGCTACGGCTCCTTCTACAACCTCCTCACCCGCACCTTCCACATCGAGGAGCCCAAGAAGGGCGGCCTGGCCAGGAGGCTGGCTAACCTCATCCGGCGTGTGCGTGGCGTCCCGCCGCTCTGAGACCTGACCTCTGTGCAGCCGGGGCTGCCGTTTCTCTCTGGGAAGGGGTGCTGGTGACCCCCAGAACTATGTCTGTCACTTGCTCTCCCCGGAGTTGGACCGAACTGCCCCGGGGCCGGGCCAGGGCCAGGGCCAGAGCTGCCCCGTGCAGCACCGTGGCTGCAAGCCAGATGTGGCGTTTGAGTTCAAGTTCATTTAAATTAAGAACTCATTTCCTCAGCTGTGCCAGCCCTGTTTCCAGTGCTCGGTCACCGGAAGTGAGGCGACTGCCGTGTTGGACAGGACAGTCAGTCGTTTCCGGCGCTGCAGAAAGTCCCACTGAGTGGCACTGGCCCGGTAACGGTCGTGCCAGAGAGCTGCTGTCGTCACTGTGTGGCGGGGGAGCGGGGGAGGGGGCTGGGGGGTTGCTGGCTGTGGAATAAAGTGTGGTTGTTTCGTTGGTTCTTTGCCTCCTGTGTCCTTGAAGCCTGGGAAGAGCTGGGGACGAGGGCTCACCTGCTGAGTACCTGAACAGGACTCCTGCCCCTGAAACAAACTGACCTCCCCTATCTCCTCCCACCTCAGCCAGTCTGCTTACCCCTCCACCCCCTGGCCTCATCTGACGGTAATTCCCAGAACTCCCTGGGTCTGGCTGGGGGTGTTTATGTAAGCACGTCCATGACCATGAAAATGAGCCATCCTCTGCTTTCTTTAGGGGCCCTGAGAGCCGGTCCCCTGTCATCATGGGTCCACGCAGGGCCTTTTTCCGGCACTGTTCCCACACGTATGCACCTGTTTCCACGCAGCAAGCACCCGTGAACCTGCTGTCCCGTGGGAACACTAGCCCCCGGACAGCGACGGATCTGATCATAATGGCTATTGTGCGGAGACAAGACTGCAGGGATAGAATGGACACCAGGACGCCGGGAAGGCGATAAGGAGGTGATGGAGTCATCTAGAAGAGGGGGCTGGGGCGTCACAGTGCAGGTGGTGAGAAGCTGATGGACATAGGGACCCCCAGGGCCGACTTTTGGACTGAGCGTGTGCAGTGGAGCCTGTGCACGCATCCGTTCGTGGTTAACTCACTGGCTGTTCACTCGGAGCTCAAATATGTCCAGTCCTTTGCAGAACATGCACTTGACATGGTCCCTGCCCTGCTCACAGCCGGGAGAGAAACACAAACTGGAACGCATCGGAATAAGTTCTGTGACTCAGTGAACTCGGGAGGCTTGATTCACTTTTCTGGGAGAAGAAAAGGATGGTTACGTCTGACCTGGAGCATGGCGGGTGCTCAGTTCTGTCTCTGTCTCTCTCGCTCTCTCATGCACAATGTCAGCACGTTATTTATTAGTGACACTCCACACAATTGCTACTTTAAAATAGTCACATATCTTACCAATTTTAACCTGCCTTTGTCTTAATTAAAATAAGAACAATGGAAGTTGCATCTCGATGTGAGCTACTGATGAAACACTTTATTGTATGTGTTATTTTTACTTTAAATACTTTTAATGCTCCTATTTTTAAAACTGTACAGGCATCAGGAAATAGGAACTACTGTAAATGCCAGTCAGAAGCTATCTCCAATCTTCCAGAGCTCCGATCTCTTACGTGGCGGTTCAGAGCATGCAAGGAAGAGGAGACGGGGAAAAACTTGACCTTCGTCTCTCTGTTCACTCCCACCTGCAGCTCAGGGCAGGTGGAGGCTCCTCGGCACATTCTTCCTGCCGTGACCTCACACGACCTAGATGAGCCCCTGGCCAGGCAGAGGGGACATCAGGACATCCGGGGGGTGCGGGGTTGAGAAGCACACAAAAAGGATACCAGCGACACCACCAAGGGCCTCATCTGGCAACCCGGGCTCTGGGTCCCTGTTTCACCTTGGGCACTGGGTTCCCTTTTGACGAGGGGAAGGGGTTGGACCAGATGGAGCATCAGAGGGGATCATAATGGAGGAGGAGGGAGTGGTGGTCAGGGCAGGCCCCCATCTGGTGTTCAGAAAATCATGGAACAGCGAAACACTGCTTAGATCTAACGAGGAAGGGAGTTCTGGCACACGCTGCAACGCGGACACACCGCGAGGACATCACGCTGAGTGAAATCAGCCAGGCCAAAAGGACACATACTGCATGACTGCACTTGACTCCTAGAGCCGACAAATCCATGGACACAGGAGAAACGGGTTGCTGGGATCTGGGGCAGGCTGTGGGGTGGGGAATGGGGGTTCGTTTTAAGGGTGGGGAGTGTCAGTTCGAGGAGATAAAAAGGTTCTGGAGGCGGGTGGGGCGATGGTAGCACAACAGTGTGAATGCACCCAATGAGCAAATTGAACCCTTAGAAGTCATAAAAAAGGTCAATGTCATATTGTAAATATTTCACCACACTGCAAGGAAGTAAAACCCTTGTTTTTCCAGGATCGCCCTGGGCAGGAGGGAGGCACACCCGGGCTGACCAGGGTCCCTGAGTTGCTCCCCCTGCCCCGCCCCCCAGGACGTGGTTGCTGCTGGACAGGAGGAGACTTCCAGCTAGAATCCAGTCCCGGGCTCGACCAGCAGGCGGGGGCTGGGGACGGACACACAAGGTCCCCAAATGCCCACTCAACCTGGCTTCCACGAGGACCCCCTGGTGACAGGGGAAACTGTGTCCTGTGTCCCCATCTCTAATGTGGGGGCACACACAGGACAGGGCAAGCCCGAAGGAGGTAGGGGCCGAGGGGTGAAGCGGGTGTGGTCACCGCGAGAGCTGCGGAGGCTGTGAGCAAGTTTGGTGACAGGCCCAGGGCCCTTGGAGGAAGTCTCCGGGACGCACCATCTTTATTGTTTTGAAGTTAAACGTATGGGGTGACATTGTTTAATAGGGTTACATAGGTCTCACGTGTACAATTCTAGGACATATCCCCTGTGTGTTACTGCATTGCGTGCCCACCACCCAAAGTCCAATCTCCTTCTGTCACCATATATTTGACCCCCTCTACCCTTTATTCCCCCCCTCTCCCCCTCCCCCTGGGGGCCACCATGCTGCTGTCTGTGTCTATGAGTTTGTGTTTGTTTTTCTGGTTCATTCATCGGCTGCTTGCAGTTTCATACCCTGCATGTGAGTGAAACCATATTGTTCTTAACTTTTTCTGTCTGACTTACTTGGCTTAGCGCGATGTTCTCAAGATCCACCCGTGTTGTTGCAAATGGCAACATTTCGTCTTCTCTTACGGCTGAGTCGTCTATATGCCATTGTCCATATGCACCACATGCAACATGCAGGTGCCAAGACACGGCAACAACGGAAGTGTCCTCTGACAGATGACTGGGAGAAGAAGACGGGGCGCACCGCGAGTCGGGGCTGACGCCTTCCCAGAGGGCTCCAGGAGGGTTCGGACGTGGCCTCTCGCTGCAGCGGCGTCCGAGCCGGCTCTCCGTCAAGGCCCAGGAAGGTGCAGGAGCCACTGAAGCGTCTCCTCACCTTTTTCTCTGTACAGGAGATGGCAATCAGCTTCCTCCTGGCTGGCCTGTGGGGGGCCTGGAGCCAGAGCCATCAAGCTGGACTTCTTACTCAACCCTTTTGACGTCCGCCATGCTGGGGGCCTCGTCTTATCGATGGCCTCCTGCCACGACGGCGGCCACGCTCACGGCCATCCCCTCTGTGCACACGATCGTCCCCAGTGCCGCCTTCTGCTCTGCCCAGAGGTGCCGCCCGGAATTTAAAATAACCGGCCTTCACCTTTATCGTCCACACCAGCGCCCAGCGCAGCCTCGCTGTCTGCACCTCAGGCACCGTCACGACCACCAAGGTGGCAGGTCCCTGATTCCCACTGCTCCCGTCCTCACCGGCCCCCACGTTAACATCTCCACTGGCATCGCTACCAGCCTCCTCCCCAACACGCCCTTCCCGTGTTCGTCGCCCTGTCACCTCCCGGGCTCGTCCGTTTTCTGTAAAAGGACACAGCAGGTGGTTTGCAGACCCCCAGACAGACCCCCAGACAGACTCTGTTGTGTCCCCATCATTGGCACTGCCCTGGGAACCCCGTGGGTGAAGCACTCATCTCATTGGGTGTAGAGTCGCACGAGTGTGGGTGGACACAGCCTTGCAGGGGCAGCTTGCTGTGGGGAGCTGGCCCAGGGCAGGGGGGGTTTGGGGCAACTCCTGGGGAGCCCTGACGTCTGAGACTGGCTGCAGGGGTAAGGAAGGACAGGACTGTCCCTCATGTGTCCTTCTTATGAACTCATGAGTAGTTTTCCCAAGCACCTCTCCTCCCCCAGGCACCGTGCCGGGCCTTTGCCACACTGGGCACTATTTGACCAGTCTCGTGGAAAGGGTAGTGCTGTTGCCACTTCACAAATGAAGAAACGGAGGCTCCCAAAGTTCTGGTTATTTTCCCAAGTCATACAACCTGCAAGTTCAGGCCTGAGGTTTAAAGCCAGATGTGATCTCCAGTCTACCCTGAGCAGTGGGAAAAATGTCTTGATTGGTGTATGGCATCCAATGGAGGGCACTTTGAAGGTGACTGACATTTAAACATGTACGAATGAATACACAATTTCTTGTAAATAAAATCTGTTTCCTGGGGTCCCTCCTCGTGCATTTTGGGGTCAATAAAATAAAGGAATTCTGTCCTGTCGTCAGGTCTCTTTTTCCTGAACGAGTGAGACAACAAGGGACAAAGTGAAACAAACACAGAGAGCTGCCAAAGGCTCAGGAGAGAGAAATCTGAGAAGGGAATGTTATGTGTAATCCAGCTAATTAAGTTGAATAAACTTTTATTAAAAGATTTTATTTATTTATTTTTAGACAGAAGGGAGGAAGAAAGACAGGGAGAGAAGTATCCAGGTGTGGTTGCCTCTCAAGTGCCCCCTACTGGGGACCTAGCCTGCAACCCAGACATGTGCCCTGACTGGGAATCGAACCCACGACCCTTTGGTTCACAGGCTGGTGCTCAGTCCACTGAGCCACAGCAGCCAGGGCATGTAATTGCAGGTAGTCCTTCACAGCTGCCTGCAGGGAAGGTGTCATCCTTCCATTTTACACGTAGGACACCGAGTCTCATCCAAGGCATGGAGACTGCTGGGTACCTCGGAGGGTGACAATGGCAGCATGAGTTCCCTGTCTTCATGTGGAGGCAGACATTTCCAAGTAGCTCTGGGAGAGGGGATCCCTGACGGCGGTGGGACAGAACAGAATACCCAGTGCCGCTTACTGTGCGTGCACTACGTGACCAGCGTTGCACATGTATCTCCGTCTTGAAACCTCACCCATTTGAAAGACAAAAAGAAAGCTGAAGCTCAGAGACTTAATTTCGTCTCCAAGGTCAAAATAACCAGTAATGGCAGGAGTCAGGATTCAAATTCAAGACCCTTTGACTCCAAAGACGGTCCTCTGAGACAGGTTTGAAAGCTGTGCCCCCAAAGACCCCGGGGATCACAAAAGGGAACTTGGGTGCTTCAAATAGGGAAGCTCTGCTTTTCATGTTGTGTGGTGGTTTTTTTTTTTTCAGAGACAATTTGGAATAAAATTTTGTACAAAGATTTGGTTTTTATAATATTTATATCATGAAGTCCTGAACTGCAAGTTGGCGGTGGGGCGGGGGGGCGGTGAGGAGGTAGTGAGGGCTGAGAAAATGACATTGGATTTGGAAATGAGAAGCCTGGTGGTGTCCTGGGTATGGGCAGTTAGATCCCACTGGCTCCTAGCAACAGAAACTTATTGTGGCTATTCTAAGCAGAGAAGGGCTTTGTGAGAGTGGTGTGGGCATGTCGTGGGCATCTAGTGTCCCTTCATAATAGTAGCCGTAAGTGTGTCCCTGTTGGATTCTTCATCTTGCAACCAGTAGAACTGGGGGGAAGCTGGAAGAATCCAGCTTGGGAGCAGATGGTACAGCAGGCAAGACTGAGGTGTCCCCAGGGCCCCTCTGAATAAGCATACACGTTCAGGTCTTCAGTCATTCACGGCTTGAGGTGAAAATTCTACAGAGAGCCCCTCTTTGTCTGGTGGTAGGGCAGGCCCCCCTTTTTTTAATCAGCAGGCCCCCCTCACTCACCTGTCCTGGGTAGAGGGAGAGTCATTCCCCCACAGCAAAATCAGGGTACCTGTTATCAGGAAAAGAACAAATGAATGCTAGGTAACAGAACGACAAAATAGACGCTACACGCAGAAAGTTTTCTGTCCAAGTGAAGGGAGCTGGGGTGGGTCCAATGGTCCAAGAGCTTAAGGCCCCATTGTGTGTTAAAGATGCCCTGTTTGTTCCTGGGAATTTTTGAAACCTTCAAGGTTAACTTGTTTATAGTCACCTTAGAGTGGGTGTGCCTACATCTGACTAACATCACCTCCCATTGTAAACCTTTCCTATTCCCTTTCTTTCCTTCCTTCTCTGATAAATATTATTGTATGCTCATAAAGTCAAGTCTAAAGCTTTTGATGCATCATCTGTGCTAACCTCAGATGTAGGTGTGTGCACAACATTAAAATCACTGGGACCACGTGACAAAAAGCTGTTGGCACGTGTCTCCTTCTGGTTTACTGGCTGCGTTTCCTCTACTTAGTAAGTAAGTCACCTTGCAGAGCTGAATTTCAGTTTCTTTAATACGTGAATAATAGTACTTAATTCATAAGAGCGTTAAGTCAACACTAGCTACCTTACACTGAACACTAACCATGCAACTACCCCAGAGGTCACAATTTTAAATGTCCTCCAGGCCAGGCAAGTAGTGTGAAAGGACATAGTTATTGTGGGCATGAGGACATGTGAGACAGTAAGGGAGGGTGGAGATTATAGGAAAGTGGAAATAATTCTGCCCTCATAAAATCAGAGCAGATCTACTTAACCGTAGTTAATGGTTTTCAAAGTACGGTAAGGTAGTGATACTTGACTGTCGGTATGAGCATCACATGAAAACTGGTTGAAATGCTAGTTCTCAAGTCCCACCTGTCAAATTCAAAACAGAGTCTAGAGGCTTTGCCAGAAATAAATAATACCCCCTGGGTGGTACAGCCCAGTGGATTGAGCGGCCTGTGAACCAAAAGGTCACCGGTTTGATTCTCAGTCAGGGCACATGCCTGGGTTGCGGGCCAGGTCCCCAGTAGGGGGCGTGCGAGAGGCAACCATACATTGATGCTTCTCTCTCCCTCTTTCTCCTGTCTAAAAATAAATAAATAAAAATCTTTAATATATATATATATTCAATTTCTTTAAAAAATAGAAATAAATGATAAAGGTTTACTAAGAGTCTTAGGGTTTGCAAACTGAAAACAAAATTAGGAAAAGACCCAGAAGTGTTTCAAAGAAGAGAAAAAAGTTAGGAGTTCTTATAGTAAAAGCACAGTCTTGAGAATGATCAGTCCTGCTTTCTTCGATTGATTCAGGATGGTTATCAGATGCCAGGCTGTCTGGAGGATGAGTGACAGGAGGTCTGGTCATGCCCAGTGACCTGGACAATGGCTGTCATGTGGTTTGCACCCATGAGTCCTTCAGGGGGTAATTAGAGGGCTGCCTGGAGGTTTCATATAGATCCAGGCATTGACTGACGCAGGACTGGAAAGTTCGAAAGTTTAAGTTCCCAAGCTTGTTAAAGCAAAAACAGAACAGTTCCCTCCTATCTCAGCCTACTTGATTTTAGTAATTTAGCAGCTTGACTATAGTGACTCCATTTGATTTCTTCCCTCTAGTCCTCGCATCCCAGACTTACTGAATCGAAACTCTGGGGGCAGAGATATCCAAATCTGTGTTTTAACAAGCTCTCCCACTGAGCTGAGACCCACTTACTGCTACATAAGACTGCAGGACTGTGTTGCCCGATCTTTTACTTTTTCTAAGAGAAGCTAGAAATTTATTTTTCTGAGAAACCCCTCACTTTCAAATCTGGGCAACAAATTCAAATTTTAAAATATACGGTGTGTTCTGACAACAGACATGTTTCAGCCAGGTTTGCAACCTCTGGTTTATGCTTTCCCCCCACTTTAATCCTTAAAATAATCCTACAACACAGTTATGATGATACCTCTTTTATACAAGAACATGCCAGTCCAAAAAGTGAAATGTTGCTCTAAGTCAATAGCCAGGATTTGGACTTGAATGTGTGTGGTTCTAAAGCCTCTGCCTGTTTACCTTTTATGTAGAAGAGGAAATACAGGAGGGTCCCTAGCACAGAGACCAGCTTCACAAAAGCGAAGCATCTTTTACTCGCCAAGGGCTGTCCACTGATGAAACTATGTTCTCCATCCTCTGCCCCACCACATGTGGCTGCCTCAGGCTGATCCTCATTCCTGTAAAAGAATGCCTGTCATCAGGGGAGCCCAAGAGGGCCAGGGAGTGGTGAGGCTGGGCAGTTTCCTGGCCCGAGGAGCTGGGCAGGTCCCGGAAGAAAGCTGTGGGCAGCAGAACCTACAGCTTTCTGAATATCCAGAAGCCAGCTGAATCCACAGGCTAAAACCGGCTGCTCTCCAAAGAGACTTCTGTGTGCCCTCCGCTGGGTTTCCGCAGCTCCCCCACCTGGCTCCTGCTTCATTGCTGTTGACTTCTCTGAGCTCAGAGTCAACAGTCCTGGCCCCTCCCAAGGAAGGCACGTCTCTGGTTCCCCAGGCTGGGCACGGGAAGTTGGGGGAGGCACTCTCAGCCTTACCCGTCTGTGGGGACAGTGGCTGGAGGTGAGCCCACTCACCTGACGTCCCAAGGTCACTGCCCCGGACCCCCTTATAGCCTTCGGCAGCAAAGAGCTCCTGGGGATAGGGGGAGCAAGAGTTAGAAAATTTTAGTTTAAGGTGAATAGTTATAAGGCTAGTAGGTTAAAGCTATTGTTTCAGGAACGGCAGGTAACGCCCATCCTGACTCCTGGGAGAGACAGCCACCTCCAGGAGCACCGCTAAAGATGACCGCCTGGGAACAAGTGGACACATCCTGGGAACAGGTGGACACATCTGGGCCATTGTGCTATGGGGAGAGATAGACAACCGCCAGCTCACCTCCTGCTCAGGGACAGCTAACTGCCCAGGGCGAGAATAGTACAGTTTTTAAAATCTAATTACCGTGAATTTCAAAACCCCTCACTGCACTTTGTTCTCCGTTATAAAAAGGCTGGCCTGGAAGGAAATGTAAGATGTTCCATTAGGGTGGGAATCCGCAGTCTGCTCAGGACCCGGCTGTCTGAATAAAGTACCCATGGAGATGCAATCCCCGTCTCTGCTTATTGGGCTTGGTATGTGACCAGCAACACAAATGCCGGCTTTTCCAGGTTCCCTGGGACTTAGAGAATACCCAAGTGCTGGAGCAGGAAGGATATCGGAAGGTACTTCTTGTCTAACTCCCTGGGTAACTCAGTCTTGGCATTCGCCAGCCCTGAGTGTAAAACTTGGTGCATACTTCTCAGGGCCCTCAGTAACTGCAGACAGCATCTACCGGTACATCTGGGTCAGGACTGGGCCCCTGTGCCCACCACGGGGACCCAGCCCTCCACCAGGACACAGCTCTTCCAGGCCAGGAACGCTGCCTTTGCATTCTCACTGAATTCTGGGACTATTACCATCTGTGTAGCTGACAGAACGACAGCTCGGGGCCAGAAGGGATTCATCCCAGGCCCCGCAGCTGCACGGTGGTCAAGGTGGTCATCGGACCCAGACCCTGTCCCCTCCAGACCAGTGCCGGAAGATTCCTTTGATTGCTTCTTTCTGAATCAGGTGTCTTGCCCTCTTGCCCAACAGACCTCACGTAGTGGGCACCTCGAGAATATTTACGGTGGCGCAGGAAAGACCGGGGCTTGGAGAGGAGGAGACCCGGGTTCAGATCTTGGTCCCCACAGAGTTCCGTGGGAACTTGCTGGGGAGGGGCCCGAACCGCCCAACGCCCAGGGCATCCGTCAAGTCCGGCTGACGGTAATAACAGCTCTCTGTTCACAGGGCTGCTGGGCAGATCCCTGAGACCCGTCAGTCAGCGAGCAGGAGGGGCGCACGGAGGGGCACACGGTCAGCCCTGACAGGTGGCTGGGGTGAAAAGAGAGGAAGAAACCCACTCCCCAAATTTCTGGAGACCATTAATAGGTGTTTCACCTTTACGGACCTCAGTTTCTTGTGTCAAATGGGTTCGTTTATTCATAAATGCTCTTTTTTTTTTGTAGGGGTTACTATGTGCTCTACATCCCCACGCTACACCTCCATCACTAATCCCTAAAGAGGGGTTTGTTCTGAACTGGCTGACCCCAAGTCCAACCACTTAATCCCCAGGCTTTCTAGCCTCCCCGTGGGCCCCGCCCTTTCCCCCTCCTCCTCGGACCTGGGCTTCACGGGAGACCCCGGTCCCGGAATGGGAACCTGGAGTCCCGCGGCCCTGCCCTCAGGCCCCAGGAGGGAGGAGGGGAAGGGGAAGTGGACAAGGGTCCGGCTGCGCCAGCCTGGAAGCTGATTAGGTTCCTGGTTCCCACCGGGCCAAGAGTGACACCTGATCCCAGGGGATTGTGAAATGGCAGGAGGTGGCCGCCCGCCCGTGGTGCGCTCTACCCCCGCCGGCTCGGCCCCGCCCCTATCCACAGCCCCAGCGCGCGCGCACGGTTAAATCCCCCCATCCCGACGGCGGCGGCGGCTCTCACCCGCACCCCGCCGGGCGCAGCACCATGACTGCCGGCCGCCTCGGTCCGCTCGTCACCCCCCTCTTCCTGGGCCTGGTGCTGCTCGTCTTCCACCCGGGCGCAGATGCGTGGTTCCGGAGCAGGGCGAGCGCCCCGAGGGACGAGCCACGAACGCCAGGTGGGAGCCGGGCAGAGGCGGCGTAGCCTCTCTGCGGGCGGGGGAAGTGCGATTTCTGGGGCGGAAGTGGGGAGACTCAGGAAGACTAAAATGTGGGGGTCCCTGGTGCCTAAGGTGGGGACCCTGGGAACGTAGGGTGTGGGGTCCGAAGTACTGGGGGCGGTGATACCACTGAAGACTGAGATTTGAGGGGGGGTAGGCTTTGTGCTGAAGGTGGGGAGTGTGACCGGAGGGGGGCGCTCTGTCTAGACATCAGTAGCTCCTACGTGGCCAGCTGTGTGGGGGTCCCCTGAGGATAGAGGGCTCTGGGATCGAGGGTGCGATAACGGCTGTACTCCCCGTGGTCGCGGACCCCTGTCCTGGAAGGCGGGTCCGCTGAAGGCTGTAAAGGGGACGTCTGGGGCCAGACTGAGAATTCCTTGAAGCTTGAGATTTGGGGTCCTCGGAGCAGGAGGTGGCTGTCCTCTGGGACAGGCGCTCCGGGCTGCCACTGATGGTCCTCAGCCTCCCCTCCCAGGCCCAGCCCCAGGCCCAGGCCCAACCCCGCGGCCAACCCCGCGGCCAACCCCAGTCCCAGAAGCAGCGAAAACGGGCGTGTGCCCCGAGCTGGAGAAGGACGTGAACTGTACGCAGGAGTGCAGCTCCGATGCAGAGTGCCCGGAAAACCTCAAGTGCTGCAAGGCCGGCTGCGCCAGCGTCTGCCACTTGCCGGATGGTAACTCCCGGGCGACCGCGCGGGGCGGGCGGGGCGCTGGGAGGAGGCGCGAGCGAGCGCCGGGGTTGGAGGAGGAGGGACGCGCCGGGACCCCGGGACCCCTGGCAAAGTCCAGGCGGATGGAACCAGATCGGTCCGAGCTCGCCTTGCCCCGGGGGAGACAAAGGCGTCACTGAGGCGCAGCGGGAGGTCAGGGGGGCCCCCCACCCCTACCTGTATTCTATTCTCTGGTGCGTGACGGGCTTCCGGCACGCACAACAGGGACGTTGTTCTGCAGGTTAGGGGACGGGGTCTCGAAGTTCCCTCACCCACCCGGTGGTGGAGCCGTGGGGAAGCCCAGAGCTGGCAGGGAGCTGGGTCCCAAGGCCTGGGGCCTCTGCCAGCCCCGGGGGAAGGCCTCGGGACTCCGGCCTGGCAGGACTTCCCGGATAACTCTGTCCAGGCAGAAGGAAACCTTACAGATTGAGTGAGGAGAGAGAAAAGTTCTTGCCCAAGATCGCACGTTGACTCAGCAGGAGGCATAGCCAAGGGGTTGGACTGTTGTCCCCCTGGTTTGAAGAAAGTCAGGGCTCTTGCCTGAGCACGCCCCTCCCCTCCTCACTAAAACAAACTCTCCCACTCTGGGGACTGAGTGAGAGAAAGTGTGAGAAAGCTCAGGTGCTCCATAAACAGTGCTTTCGAGAGAGTCCCTCCACTAGGGCTGTGGGACCCCCGTCAGAGCAGAGAGTGGCATTAGACGGCATGGGATCCCAGCTTCCTGTTTTCCGCAGGGAAGACCTGAGGACTGGAAGCAGGTCTCTGCCCTGGGGTACCAACTTGGGGTGATCACTGGTCCTTCTCCAGAATATGGCCCCTGTGGTTTCTCTTCTTGGTTACTTCTCCAAAGATGCCGGCGGGGGCTGGGAAGGTTTGTGGTTAGAGACCTCAGACACTTAGCATCAGAGAGGTGGGAGGCAGAGAAAGGACTGGCCCACCCCGGCAGCTGCTGGATCTGGGGGCCTACAGGCTGGACCAGAGCGAGGAGGAGCGGAAGGGGAGGTAGAGATCAGGACAGACAGCGAGAGGTGGACAGACGAAAAGAAGAAGGGAGTCGCCACTGTCAGGTGGGGTCTTTGCTGTCCCCCTGTCTCAGATGGACACACTGAGGCAGGAAGAGGGCCAGGCTGGATGGCCTCCTGAACTAGAACCCTGGTTCTGTCACCTGCTAGTCGCGTGATCCTGAGCCAGCTGCTTTACCTCTCTGAGCCTCTACCTTTCCTCTCTCGCTCAAACTTTGTAGGAGCCCCATGAGGGCTAACTGAAATGATATATGTAACACATCTTCGTAGAGAGTAGGCACTCCGTACACGGTGCCTTGTTTTACTAGTAAACTGCTGGGCAGCTGGGTCTCCGGAGAGCCCCTGCCTTTTTCAAAGAAGTGGACGTCTTCGTGCTAGGAAGTCAGCCACTCCCGTCCTCTGCAGCCCGTCACGGGCTCCGTGCCTGTGTTTGACGTTCAGCGGGCTTGCTCCCGGGGCCTCTGGGACGTGAGCTGAGTGCCCTTCTCCGTGAGCCAGGAAGTGGGGCCCAGTGCGTGTGGGGAGGTGAGCAGAAAGGACAGATGTGGGAAGGCTGGGCTCGGGTCTAGACGGCAGTGCGGTGCTGGGTGGTGCCTTCGTGCCTCCGTGCCTCATTTTCCCCACCTGTGACAGGAACAGGGCCGGAAGCGTCCCCGACAGAGGGGACATGTGTGGTGAGGATTGAAGGAGGTGGTGGGTTTGCACCAAGAGCATTTTCAGGGGCGCATCTCTGCAGCCGTAGCTGTGCGTGTGTCAGTGGACGGACGTTTGTCTTTGCGTGGCGCTCTGTGGATGCGAATGGGAGTGAGTACAGAGAGTGTGGGTGTGTGATCCCTCCTCTGTGCACCGTGCTTTGCAGCCTAGAAAGCAGCTGAGCGCATGGCGTGCGGACTCTGAAGCCAGATTCCTGGCTTTCAGATCCTGCCTCTGTCCTATATGACCTCCAGCAAATTGCTGAACCTCTTGTGCCTCAGTTTCCTCATCTGTCACAGGAAGAGACACTAACAATACCTCTCCCTCTCTTTTAGAACTGTTGTGACAATTAGATGAGTTAATACACAAGTTAATACACATCGAGCGCTTAGCGTAACACAGAGAAAGAGCTAAGTAAATGTGAACTGTTGTAATCACTCATTTTTGTTATTACTGCAAAGGAGTTTGGTTTTTCAGGGAGAATTCATACAGGTATATCGCCTCCATTACTGTGACAACAGCCAGTGCCCGCGATGCGGGCAGCACTGTTCTTCTGTGGCACCTAACGAACAGCAGCTGTGGGAGATTTCTGGCCCAGGCCACGATATTAGGAAAGGGCAGAGCTGGGACTCACCCTGGGGTCCTGTGATTCTGAAACCAGGGCTGGAAGGAGCCGGAGGGAGAGGGTTTGCAGGGGCGGGGCGGGGCGGGGGCGGGGATGGATCTCCCAGGTGAGCAGCTGCGCTGGGAGAGCAGCTGTGGATACATGTTCTCCTCCGGGCATTTCCCTCCGCCCACCCCGCTCCCCCACTCCTTTTTCTCTGCAGAAAAGCCGGGCTCCTGCCCCGAGGTGGACCTTCCCTTGACTCCGCTTGGCCTCTGCCGGGACCAGTGCCAGGTGGACAGCCAGTGTCCCGAACGGATGAAATGCTGCCGCAATGGTTGCGGGAAGGTGTCCTGCGTCACTCCCGTCTTCTGAGGTAGGTGGGTGGGAGGCAGGCGGTGCCCTGATGCCCACGAGTGATGGCACCTGCCGGAGGTGGAGAAGGAGGGGCCGGGCTGGCACACTGCCCTTCACTGATCTGCTTGTTCATTTACCTTCTTCCCCGGACAGATGCTTACTGAGCAGCTGTCATGTGCGTGCTCCGCTGCGGGGGCTGGGGAGGCTTCGTGGGGGAACAGATCAGAAACATCTCTCGGAGGGGGTTTCTGGCTAGCAGACCATCATCAAAATAAGAGGCACATTCTGCAGAATATTAGAGAAATAAGTGTCGTGGAGCAAAAGAAAACCGAAGGGGGATAAGGAGTACGGGGTGGGGGCGGGGTGGGGTGGGCCATGGAGGGCCTGTCCGGATGGGGCACTGGCACTGACGGGGGGAGCCCTGAGGACTCGGGGACAGCGCGGCAGCAGGAGCAGAGGCAGGAGCCTCCTGGCGCATTTCAGGAAAAGCCAGAGGCTGGAGCCAGTAAGACGAGAAGGATGGGTAAGCGGGCAGCTCCTTAGTGGCCTGACCGGCTGTTGTGAGGACTCTGGTCTTGAGCCAGACATGTTGCGCCCTTGGAAATGGACATGCTCTGACTTAGATTTGAAAAGGCTTGCTCTGACTGCTGTGTGGAGACCAGGCTGCAGGGGCAGCGGCAGAAGCAGGGGAGCCAGCCAGGAGGCCCCCTGCAAAGAGCGGAGTGGGGGGGGGGCGGGGAGAGGGTGACCAGGGGTGAGTAGTGGCTGGGCTGGGGACAGAGATGAAGGTGGATGACGAATTGGGCAGCTCGGGAAAGAGAGATTTACCCTTTCATTTCCTTAATGCCACGGCACTTACGTAAGTCATCAGCGGGAGGAGCGGCCCTGTCGTGGGAGGGGGCGGAGGGGCTGGAGGGCCCCTGGGGGAGGCGGGAAGTTCTGCGCAGCCAGCAGGAGGCGGAAGAGTTGATCTTCACTTTCACCGAGAAGCCTGGCTTTCCAGGATGGAGGTGGTAGAGATCAGTTAACTTCAGTTTACTCCCTCAAACGTGTGTCGGGGCTGTGTCGAGCACTTCGCCTGTGGCAGCTGGAATTGTACGTGGCCCCTCCCGTGGCCCTGACACTAGAAGGACTGTGGAGCCTCCCTGTCCCCATCTGTGATTAACAATAAACCAGGACTGAGCCCTAAAGAAAGCAGAAGGAAACACAGCAAAACAAAACCCGACTACGTGCTCAGTCGGCCCACTGAGTGATCCAGGACCGTGCCACCAGCTCTGCCCGGTGCCGGGACAGAAGGTGACCGCTGCCCTTCCTCACAGAGCTGGCAGCCGGTGGCTGCAGGGGACAGACGGACGGACACTCCCAGTGCCTGTAGTCAGTGCTGCAGAGGAAGCAGAATAAACGAGAACCTGCAGTCTCGTTGTCGATCTGCTGCCTTGGACAAGGTCTCAGCCACGGGACTGGCAGGTCACAGCGGAGCCCAGTTCGCATGGAGGAGACTGGAGCCCAGCGAGAGGGGAGCCCGAGCCCGAGGCTCCTGTTTCCAGGCCTGACTTTGGTGCCTGGGAGGGACCCGAGGTCTCCCCAGGGTGCAGAGCTTTCCTCCCTCACCTCCACGAGCACCCACAGCAAGGCAGGGCGTTTTTAGTCAGGAAAACACAAGTTTGAATCTCAGCCCTGACACTTAAAACTAGCCTTTCACCTGAGCTGCAGTTATTTTACTTATAAAATGAGATAAATAAGATTTGTGTGATTAGATAACCCTGGCTTAACCCAAAGGACAGGGGTATGGTGGAACTCCCTCCCTGGTGGTAGGGGGACACCTGAGGAGATGAATGACCATGGCTCCTCGGGAAGGCCACATGGACGGCTGGGGCCGCGGGGTGGCCAGGTGTGTCCTGGGAGTGGTCTGAAGCAGAGGTGCGTGACCTGCAGGGAAGTGCAGGCAGAGCCCTGGGGCCTCCAGGAGGCGAAGGGTGTGTGTGTGTGTGTGTGTGTGTGTGTGTGTGTGTGTGTGTTGGAAGGTCCGATGCGGCAGGGGAAGCTTTGATCCAGAATTTACCGGTAAGCGGCAGGTACTGTCGTCCCGGATATTGTTGTTGATGGTTTTATTATGATTTTCTCCCTCCAGTTTCAGCCACCGCAGCCGGAGGAATGAGGGAGTGGAAGTTTCTGCCAGGCCCTGTCTGGCTCCGGCCCAGCCCCGTCTGGCTCCAGCCCAGCTGCCCTCCCCTCTTTCTGGCCTCTGCACTCCCTCCTGTGCTGGCCACAGTTTCATTTTCCAGCCAATAAAGTGACCGCTTCCAGCACCGGTGGGGCCGTGACCTCCATTCTTATCGTTCTGTCCCTGCGTCCCCTGCCGCTGGGTCAGGATGGGGTGGGGGAGCGGCCAGACCGCCCAGGCATAAAGCCCAGCGAGGGATCAGCTCTGAAACAATGAAGATATTTTCAGGGCCTGCCTCACGGGCAGTGGGTGGTTCTCCTCCCAGGACGATGGAGGAGAAAACTGAGGCGCAGAGATGATGACATGCTTCTAAGGCCGCTCCGATTCATCCGACTCAGCAGCCGCCCTGCTGCTGGGGCTCCTGGTGGCCCAGCAGCAGGGGCCTCGAGCACCAGATGCAAGGTGGGGAGGCTCCCTGGTGAGGCCTGGACCCAGGAGACCACCCAGAGCAGGCGATGGCAGGCCCGCGGTGCAGACCAGGACTCCTACATAGACCGCAGAGAAAAAACGTGGCCAGGCTGGGTTCTTTGTTGTTACTGTTTTTGGTCAAGCCATTGTTTGGTATAAACAATACATTCATACAGATCGAAATGTAAACGGTAGAGATGGAAGGCATCTTGTACCCTCAGCTCCCTCCCTCTAACCCCAGCCGCCCCCAGTGGGTTTGTTTCTGTGGGCGCCGGCGAGAGCAGTCCCCGTGTTCGTTCCGGAGGCCGCGCCGGCTCTCCGTCCAGCTTCCCGCTCTTCCTTCTCTGTGTCTCTCGTTTCCTCTTCCTTCCGTCCCTTAATCCTCTCCCCTCTGTCTCCCTTCTTCTCTCTTACTCACTCTCTTCCTTTTTTCTTCCTATTTCCCCCCTCTTTCCCTTACTTTTCTATCTTCCCTTCCCCCCCTCCCTCTGTCTGGCCCCTTTTTCTATACCCTCTATTTCCCCCCTTATCCCTCACCACCCTCTGTCTAGCCCCCCAACCCCCCTATTCTTCCTCTGTCCCTCCCTGTCCCCTCCCTCCATCACCCCCTCTCTGTTCCCCTTTCTCCATGGCCCTCTCTCTCACCTTCTCTCCCTACCCGTCTCTCAACACCCACAGGTGTTCTAAATGCTGTCTCCCCTACACCTGCTGATACCCTTCAGGAATGGTGTCTAGCATCATCTCCCTCATGCAGACTGGGGAGAAGGGGAGGCCCTGAGAGGCACAAGGGCTTTTCCGGGACACAGAGCTGGGGAGAAAAAACAGGCGTGAGCTCAGGTCTCCTCGCAGCTGGGAAGCCGGCGCATCTCCCGGGAGCTGTGTCGGATGACGGTGTGGGTACGGAGATGGCGCGGGCCGGGAGGGTGAGCAGTCAGCAGTCCAGAGGGGGCTTTGGGTGGCTCTGATTGGAAAAAGGGACCCAGGGGATTCATGGAACCTTGAGGGGTGATGTCACTTCCTTGGTGACAGACTGCACAACAGGAGTTAGAACTCCGGGAACCAGACACCCCTCCGCAGCCCACTTGACTGGAGCCTGGTCAAAGAGAGCAGGATGTACGCTGGCTGCTTCCTGACCTTCTGAGGCTCGGGCTGAGCACAGCCCAGGGTGTCAGCCCAGAGTGACGGGCGTTTCTGTGGCTGTGGAGAGTGGCGCAGAGCTCGCATCCAATACCTCCGGCGATTCGGCACGAGGCTCCCTCAGGTGACAGGGCAGCCCCAGGCCGACCCGTCCGGGCCAGGCTGCCACTGTGCTCCCACGTGGGCAGCCCTTTCTCTTCCTCCTCCCTCCTTCCCCTCCTCCCAGGACCCCCTCTTGTTCTTCTGCATGTACTGCCCCTCTCCATTCCTTTACACCTGTTTTCTCTCCTTCTCTCCCCTCCCTATTTCCCTGCCCTCCTTCTCGCCCCTCCCTCTCTGATCTCCCTCATCTGTCTCTGTCTAGGAATACAATTCTTTTTACACGAATCACACCCTGTACACACTGTTCTGTATCTCGTTTCACGTATCTAGAGGGTCACTCCGTAGTGAGGGGTAAAGAATTGCTTCATCCTTCGCTGTGGCTGTAGAACCTCCCGTTGTTTGGATGTACAGAGTTTATTTGACCACCCCTCTACTGGGACTGTTCAGGTGGCTTTCAGCCCCGTGCGGGCCTGGGTTCGAACCCGAGTCACCCGACGCCACAGTCCCGTGCTTGCTCCACTGCCGGGTTTTCTCACTTCAACCCACGGAGTGTGTGCTCAGCCTTTGGGCTGAGAACGAGGGAAAGGACACAAGTGCTGGCAGCGACTCCGGCCCCCAGGACAGCCTCCAGGCGTCCTGTTGCTGCGCCCGCTGTGGACCGTGGGGCAGATGGTGTGTGACGGTCTGGAGACAGAAGAGGTCAGCGGCTTGGTGTCTGGCCAGTCTTACCTTTCTTATCCTCTTGTGGGTCCTGGCCCTGGGCCCTGAGGGGGGCGGGGCTTCTCCCTCCACCCCCCCTGGGGTACGAGGTGAATGGGTCTCCTGGATGGGAGTGGCGGTGCTCAGGGCCTAAGTCCGTCCCCTGGCGATAGGTGGCAGTGAAGGTTCTTTTTTAACTTTCCCTTTTCTTATTTCTATCCTTGGCCACACTTCAGGCTTCCCAGCCCTTCTAGGCAGAAACAAAGGCAGCCGGTGGTGGGCTGGGTAGAGTCGTTCGGGACTAACTGTGTGGCTGCCAGGCCCCCACTTTCTCCAGGTGTGCGTTCTGAACAAGCGTGCTGGGCCGGGCTGTGTCTAACTGGGGGATGGCAGAGTCTTTTGTACGCGTGCCCTCACTCCTTCCACCTGCTCCCGCACTGCGCAATGTTCCCCCTTGCGCTGCTCCTTTCATGAGCCTATCTGTGGCCACAGAACCTTCAACCCAGAGCTCCAGGCGGCTGCCCCCAGCTACCCACTCGTTGGAGTTCGCAGGCACGTTTGCTACTTCTGATTTAGCTCAAGATATGAAGTGCCAGCGGAGGAATATCAGACCTGGCCGTTGAGGGTTTACTGAGTGATAAGGATGCACAGGGCCACCCTGAGTAGGGGGTCCAAGGGAGATGGACCCCCAACTAATCGGCAAACTCCCAGGCTTTCCACCAGAACCTTAATAGGGGACGGGGCTTTTTCAAGGGGCTTGCTGGGGAAGAGGAGGTGAGAAAAACCAGGGCGGAGGTGGGGACGCATCCCAGGGGCAAACAGGAAGAATCTGCCTGGGAAAGAGAGTCGGGTGAGAAATCTGGGTGGGGGGTTATAAGGAGCCCCTGGCCTAGGACTTTTCTTCGATCAGACTTGCAGCCAGCTGGCTGCTGGAGGCCAGGGACTCCGAAGGCCTTCGGCTCAGGAGGGCAAAGAGGAAAGAAGGAGGGGCTCTGGACTGGCCCCTTCCTCCCCCCTATCAGGTTTCGATGGGACCCGAGTGCCATGGTCAGACCACAGCGGTTTTTAGTTTGGGCTGGGCAGGGTGGGGGACTCCAGGGCCAGGAATGGAGGTAAAACTGCACCATCCTGATGGGACTGTCCCCCTCGGGCCCCTCCCAGGACTGCTCGGGGCAGGGTTTCTCCCTGCTCTCACCTTTCCCCTCACCAGCAGCGAGCTGCTTTGCTGGCACCTCTAAACCCCATGCCTGGTCCCCAGAGCTGTGGAGGGTAACACCCGTGTGGGACAGCAGCTGTTCCGCAGGAAAGCTCAGGTTTGCGGTGGGAGGGAAGTTATGTAGGAGTGAGCTGGAGCTTGGGAAACGAAGGTCTAGAGCCAGACCAGTAGAGGGTAGCCCTGCCTGGGGAACAGTGCACGCAGAGGCATTCAGTCATTGGCTTCCAATTTATTGAGCTCCTACTACGTGTTTTGTTCCAGGTGGTGGAATATCAAGGAGGAGAGTGTGTGTGTGTGTGTGTGTGTGTGTGTGTGTGTGTGTTGGGGGGACTAGTCAATGAATGAATGAACCCACACGTGTGTACCACGTCAGGCTGTGGAAAGGGGATGGAGGACTGTTAAGCTGGGTAAGAGGACTAGTGGGTCCAGAGGGTGGGTCGAGGTAGGGCTGGTTACTTTGCAGAAGGTATTCAGGGAAGTCACGCATAGGTATCATGCAAGCAGTGAGCTGAAGGAAGGGAGATGTGAGCCATGTGACAATCCGAGGGGACAGCGGTCCAAGCCAAGGAAACTTCCAGAGCTAAGGGCCTGAGGTCAGCGTGCTGTTTGGAGGTGTTCGAGGCTGGTGTGAATGAATGGTCAGGAGCACAGGGGAGATGAGGTCGGAGATGTCGTGTGGGCACAGGTTACAGAGAGCCCATGGTCACTGCTAGGACTTTGCCTTTTGTTCTGAGTGAATTTAGGAGCCACAGGAGGGGTTTGAACAGGGCGATGACCCCAGTTGGAAAAAGATCCGTCTGGCTGCCATGTTAAGAATAGACTCTAGGGGGCGATGTGGAAGCTGGGAGACCGGTTAAGCTACTGCAGCAAGGGAGACACTTTGAGACTCTGTAAAAATCCTATTACTTCTCAAAATTTTACTTACTAGTTTTTAACATTCATGGATGATTCTTGCCAGAATCGATGATTATTTAATGGTTGCTAAACAGTGGTTTTCTAATCTACCCTTTTGAGCTCTTTTTCGGCTTCCCATCTCCAGCTACAGTAGGGGGTTGAGATCTCTCCTCCGAGTTTGATTACACGTCCTATGCTGGGGTTTACTCCATCTCTGTAGTACAACGTCCTACTCCCAAGGGGGACTCACCCCTAGCCTTACGTTAACCCACCCACTCTGGGCAGAGCTCGGGACCCCTCTCTTCCCCTCCCCTCCTCCCTCCCTTTCTTCTTTCCTCGCCATCTTCCATAAAAGTCAGCGATGATGAGACTCCTAGCGTTCCCTCATAGTTTAAAGCCTTAATTCCAAAAACTAAATCCCAGGTTCCTCCTCCCCTCCATGATATAATCTCTATGAAACTACTCAGCAAGTACTTGCCGATACCACCTTATTCCAGTAATCCAAGTTAGCATTGTGAGCAGCCAAACAAATCAACATCATGGGCCCTGTGCGTGTCACTGCTCTCGGCTCAGGGGAGGGGGGGATGTGTAACAGGGGTGTCCAACCTTTTGGCGTCTCTGCGCCGCACCGGAAGAAGAAAAGTTGTCTCAGACCACATGCTAAATACATTGCGACACATAATCACAAAAAATACAAGTAAATGTACGATTTTGTGTTGGGCCGCGTTCACAGCCATCCTGGGCTGCATGCGGCCTGCGGGCGGTAGGTCCGACACCCCTAAGGCCAGGTCCCCGACTTCAAGAACCTCCAGAATGAGAGCCTGCAGACGGAGAGGCAGGCAAGCCCCGAAGACCTCTCTGTAGTCTCCATGGAGATGTCCGGGGGTGTTATGGAAGGGAGAGGGAAAGAGGGACCGGGCTGGCCATGGCCAAGCTGAACGTGAACGATGGCACACTGATTAAGAACGTGGGCGCTGGAGTCAGACTTTGATTTGACACCAGCTTCATTCCCTGCCCGTTTGCTATTTTGGGCGTGTAATTTATCTTCCCGACCTTCAGCTTTCTCGTTCGTAGGATACAGATATTAATAGAGTCCCCCTCTTTGGGCTGTTGGGAATATTGAATGAGATGCTGTGTGTTAAGCATGAAGCTGGGCTCCTGGCGTATCGTACGTGTGTGTCCCACCAGGTCTTTGGGGGGCTGCTGTTTGGCCCCTGGACAGTCCCTAAACTGGCAGAACTGGCCCTCGACCATGGCCAAGAGGGGCTGGAACGGAGCCCCAGGTCTGCCTCGGCTTCCACAGCCCAGGCTGATCTGCAGACCTGGCTCTGGAGGCCCGGCTGGGCGTGTCTCCCTCCCAACTGGATGTTGCATCTCTGAGTACAGAGGAAGTTTGGGCAAATAATCAGGTGGCTGTGGCAATGCAGAGGAAAATGTCTTTTTCTTCGATTAGTGATGCCTCTATTTCATCCCCACCCCCTGATTTTAGAGGCGTCCCTACCCATCTTTGGCCCTCCATTTTCCCTTCTTGATTTAGACAGCTGAACAGATGATACCCGTGTTTTCTCCTTCCCTTCCCAGCTGTAATAACTGGGGCCGCCCAAGGCGAATCAAGGGACTCCAAGACTAGGGCTCTTCACGCCTCTCCCCATGTAGCCCGTGGCAGGACAGTGTGGGCTTTTAGAAAGTTTCACTAATTTTTCAATTAAAAATGGCCTTAGTATCTTCGGTCCCTCCCCCACTTCCCTTCCTTCTCTGGTTTCTGTTGTTCCCCTTGTCTTGTTTCGCAGGACTCTGGAAATCCTTTCCTTGTCCAGTGCTGGCCTCCATACCACGCTCGGGTAGTCAGCTTCACCAAAACCTCTCTCCTCCAACACTGTTACCCTGCACTGGGCTAAGCAGTGATTCAAACTAAGTGTGGATAACCATTCCCTGGTTTCCCCAGTATGTGTGCGTGTATGTATGTAAGCAAGCAGGTCTTCCAATTTTAAGCACGTTGGCAATATTTATAGAATTTCAAGCACAGAGATGAGTGATGTTAAGAACACAGCAGGGAGAATAAGCCTGGGGTGGAGAAATGCATCTCTTGTTCACACAAATGTCTATAGTTGTCTGAGAGCAACCCCGACCCCGGGGAGGGCTAGTCTTTTCTTAAGAAACCGGGTGTACTGGCAGGCTTCCTTGCACGTTTCTTTCTTCAAAAAGTTGTTCCCATTGCCTTGGCAGCCTCCGTAGAAAAACACCTCACATTCAGAAGTATTGGAGTTGTAAAACCATCGTTGGATTCGAGCTCGACAAGGGCCCCTCTCCACATGAAGCCTGCAGACCTTTGGGGAGACAGTGTGTCTATTCCGGCCTAAAGAGAGAGAGTGGTTGAGAGAGGCCAGACCTGCTACCTTTCTCTTGTTAGCCCCATCTGCCAGGGGCTGGGATGGCCGTGGGCACCCACGTGAGGCTGTCTCTGAGCTCTGGACCTCTTCCCATGCAGCCCATGGCTCACCCAGCCGTGACCTTATCCATCTAAATAGAAACGGAAGTCTTTACTTCTGGGTGTAGCCTACTGTGCTAGAAACCCCAGACTTGAGAATCCGGCTGTAGCGGATTCAACTCCACTTACTGCTGTGTGACACTGTGTCAGCTTAACGTCTCCCAATCATCACTCCTTCGTTTGTGAAGTTAGGGAGTTGAGCTCCGTGCTCTCCGAGCATCCTTTCAGAGCTGATTTTCTAGGATTGGGTGAGCAGACTCTCTCTGGCTTCCCTCTCCTGCCTCGTCATCATTCTAGGGTAGATGTCCGATAGGAAAGGACTGACTTGGCATCTGCGAGTGGGGCTCAAAGTTGATTCAATTATTTCTAGCTGTATGATCTTAGACAAACCCCCTGTATCTTTGGCACTCAATTGTCTTCATGTAAAATGGACAATAATATTCCCACTGTAGGCTTACTGAAGGCTTAGAGAGAACCTGTGGGAAGCAGTGATCAACAGAAAAGCATAACTAAAGGGTAGCTGTTCGCAATCACTCTTTCCCTTCCTTCACCAAGAAGACTCTCGAGAGCAGGGACCTCATGCTACTCGTTTCCACAGACTACGTGCCTCACACAGAGCCATGCCTGGCCCTGAGTTCTCAGTAAATACTTGTTCATAGAAAAGAAACCCGTGAGATCCTCTGAGGTGGGGTCGCAAGGTTCTTTGTGTTCCCATTTTATGTAAAGCACTTTATCCTTGCAATTACTCTCCAAGGTAAATATCAGGACTTCCAACTTTATATGAAGAAACTAAGGTCAGAATGGGAAGTGCCTTTCCTAAGGTCATGCTAGAAAGTGGTCGGACCAAGAATCAAACCCAGGATGGTTAGGCTGCGAAGGCTTGCGGGTTCTCAGTCCATATGTGTTGTTGGAGAATTGGTGGATGGACGGAAGGATAATCACTCCTGTGGCGGACATTCAGCCCTCAGGCTAGGCGGAGGAAAGATGCGGTCTCTGTCCTTTCTTCCCCCCATAAGGCTGACTCTAAGGGTAAAGGATAACCGGAAAGAGGCAGACTAGTTCATTCAGTCAAGATAGGAAGCGGAATGGGGCCCGTTGGAATGTTCCTGAGACATCCTAGTCACAGCAGCCTCACGCCCCGGACACTTACAGGTGGCTTTGCAGGGGCTGGAGTCCCACTTGCTTTTTAATTTTCTCATTCCTGCCTCTCTGCTCCTCCATTTCATTGAGCCAAAAAGGGAAAAAAAGTCTCTTGACTTGTTTCCTGTTTCATGAAGTTAAGATGATAATACCCCCTGTGTACGTGTGCCTGTGTGAGCGTGTGCATGTATGTGTGTGTTTTGAGTGTGAAAGAAACTGCTAATGCTTTCCAAGAACCTAATAGTTCTTTTGTTCTGCCTATTTATCTCATTTTCTATTCTGTTCTCACTTTATTACTTTTGCCTTAGCTTGGGGGGTTTGCTCTCTTGTGTCCCTAAGGTCTTGAGTGCTATGCGTGGCTAACTGACTTACATGTAAACACTTAAGGCTACAAATTCCCTCTAAGAACTATGTTAGCTGTCTACCACACAGTTTGTTCCATGATATTTTCATAACTGATTAGTTCTAAGATAACAATATATTAACAGCTAAATTGTACCGAAAGCTTTATATGCAGCGCAGCAGTTGGTCAATAAAGTCAATTCATTCACCTTATTTTAAAGAAGAAGGAACTGAAGCTCAGAGAGGCTAAATAGTATTCCCAAGGCATGGGGTTTGTAAGTGGTAGAGCCAGGACCCGAACCCCCTCACCCAGGTGTCTGATTCCGGGTGTGCTCATCCTGTTGCCCACTACACTCTCCTTCCTTGTCGCAGAGGTTCTTGAACCTGAGTGCGCACCAGAATCACCTGGAGGGCTTGTTAACCCGTAGATCGTGAGAACCACCCCCCAAAGTCTCTGGTTCAGAAGGCCTGGAAATTAGTAAGTTCTTCTGAACCAGGAGACGAACTCTAAGACTTTCTGGCCTATAGGGTTGTTGGGAGGTATAGCATCTCATTTATATATAAGGATCTATAATCGATAGCTTCGTGCAGGTACGTATGTGCAGAGAGCTATATGTGGACGCTCACTCACATGTTAACAGTGATCATCTCTGGTAGATACAATTTGTACAAATGTCTATTTTCTCCCTTACACTTTTGTATTTTGAGTTTCTTACCAAGTATAGGTATTTTTATAAGCATGTATTATAAGACACATTTTTAGAAAGGAATCTTCCTGCCTGCTCAAAAATCTTGGCAACTACTGCTAATTGCCCTCCTTTCTAATGGATTATCCTGGATGTATTGCATTTCATCTCCCAATTTCACTTGCAGACTTTAAGTTTCAGCAAAGAAAGTAGTCCTTTCTACACATAAGTCCAACTTGGCGAAGTCCCTCACCTTCAAATTTTGGCTCATGTCTCTTCTTCCCAACCTTTCCTTGCTCTCAGACAGCCCCGCCCCAGACTTGGAACCCCCTTTACCTGCTTTACTTTTTCTCTTTTGTATAGCACATTTACCCTCTGTTATGTATATTACCTATTGTCTGCCTCTCTTCCACTGGAATATACATTCCACAAAGCAGGGTCTTTGTTTCACTCATTACTTTAGCCCTAGCACCTAGCACCTGGCATATTGCATGCTCCCAACACGTATTGAATGAAGTGAATTGAGTTGACTCCCTGCCCTATGAGATAATGAACAGACTCTCTTTGTACTGCTGAACCCCCCGCCCCAGCCCTTTCCCAGGCTGCTCTGGGAGCTCCCCCTTCCATACCAACCTTTTCCTATGTCAGACTGGAGCTCTTGGCCGAAGGTGAGAAGCAGGAGAAATGGGAGAGAGACCCGGTGCTGCATGGCGTCACCCATCCAGTGGCCCAGCCTGGGGCTGGTGTTTTAGGAATAAAGTGGACCCACGGGGAGGAGCTTGACCCCACATTCTGTTCTTTCATCTCTAACTCCTGCTAATCACCAGTTAGCAGGGCTGCCCCTGGAACAGAGCGTCCAGCCAAAGAACGTCTCTGCCCATTTTCTTTGGTCTTATCTGATCTTTGGCCTTTATCCAAAGCCACCTTACCAGCACTTCAGTGTGGAAGCCGCTGTAACAATAATAAAACCACAGGTACCATTTGTTGCATGTCTTTACCTTCCCAGGCACCAGGTAAACTACACTTCACGCATTACCTCCCTTGAATCCACCCAGGATTTCCAAAAGGCTTAGAACCCCCATTTTGTAGGTGAAGAGAGGTTAAACTACCTTCACCATTGTCCCATGAATGGTGAGTTTCAGAGCCAAGACTGGGACCCTCATCTGTCCAGTTCCAATGTCCTTGTATTACTCATTCATTCAACAAACATGTATTGAATTCCCAACACTCTGCCAGGCATAGTCTTGGCTGCTGCCTCCCTCCCATCTGGGGTCTCCCAGGGAATGGTGAAAGCAACACACACATTGTTGTGTAGAAGGACGACACAACTTTGTTTGGTTTAGAGAATCGTGCTGTCTAGAGACACACCTCATTTGCCAAGGACCAGTGCACTCCCTACCCACATCCTTTCTCAAATCCTCTAGGGCTCTGACTTTTTTTTTAAAGATTTCATTTATTTATTTTTAGAGAGGGAAGGGAGGGAGATAGAGAGAGAGAGAGAGAGAGAGAGAGAGACATCAATGTGCGGTTGCTGGGGGTCATGGCCTGCAATCCAAGCATGTGCCCTGACTGGGAATCCAACCTGCAACACTTTGGTTCGCAGCCCGCACTCAATCCACTGAGCTACGCCAGCCAGGGCTAGATCTGACTTTTTATAAAAGATAAAGCTGGCATGGTTTAGTGGGATTTTGTGAGTCTTGGATATGAAATTTAAGGTTGTGCTTTTGAGTTCAGGTGCTCTTGACCTTGGGCAAGTCGTGTGATCTCTCTGAGCCTGTTTTCTCATCTGTACGTTGAGGTTAATTGTGCTGGTTTAGCATACTTCCAGCACTGGCACAAGGGTGCAGTGAATACACAACTGCTTCATACATCATCAGTGCATGCGGGCACATGCTATTTGCAGACGTGCGCGTGCACGGTGATCTTTTTTGTAAACGGGAGTGTCAGCTGGATCAGAACCATACTTGCTCCACAGAAGTGTGCTACCCATCTTTGCATCTCACCAGTAACTCTTCCTCCTTTCTCTTTAAGTCCCCTGCAGCCTTGATGATTCTCATTGCAGCCGTGATGGTTCTCATTCCTTGGACCTTGCCTCTCCAAACTCTAGTTCATGCAATGGTCAGTCAGCCCTCTCATCCTCACTGCTTCCTCTGCCTTCATGTTCTCGAAGACTCCTCTGGAGCCTGCGTTCCAGCATCTCTGTGATACATCTTCTTTTGCACTTCGGATGGTTCCTGGCATCTCTCTCCTTAGCTCTCTTGAGTGGTCAGATCTGTTCATCAGAAACCAAAACAATGGCAGGAGGAGGCCCCCAGGGAGTGAACAGACTGGAACTTGCCGTTCAGACAAAGCAAAGACAGGACTGCCTATATGTGCTCTTGGCTGAGAGCTCCCTCTTCTAGAGCAGCGGACCAGGAGGTGAGAATTGACCTTTTAACACACAGTTCTGAAGAGCAGTTTTCATCTGGGGAGGGGGCGATTCTGCTGCTCAGGGACACTTGGCAATATCTAGAGACATTTTTTTAAAGATTTGTTTGTTTGTTTGTTTGTTTTTAGAAAGAGGGTAATGGAAAAAGAGAGGGAGAGAAACATCAGTGGTTGCCTCTCACATATCCCCTATTGGGGATCTGGCTCACAACCCAGGCATGTGCCCTGACTGGGAGTCGAACCGGTGACCCTTCGGTTCACAGGCCGACACTCAATCCACTGAGCCACACCAGCCAGGGCTCTAGAGACATTTTTGATTGTCACAACTTGGGGGAGGGTTCTCCTGCTGGTAGAGGCCAGTGAGGCTGCTAACCTAGCCATCCTGCAATGCACAGGATAGCCCACAACAAAGAATGGTCTGTTTCCAAACATCAGTAGTGCCAAGGTTAGGAAACCCTGTAGAAGAATTGTGGGTATAAGTATTTTTTTTTAGTTATAAAAATATTTCCAATGTGAGCAGGGTGATAAGGACTCCATGCAGCGAGGGCAGTGTTTGATGAGGTGTGCCTGTACTTACCTGGCTGAGCACACCTGGTGGGTGGGCGTGGGAGGCACTGGCCTTTGAAAACCAGGCATTCTGTACTCAGGTTGCCCTGGGGGATCTTTGGCCACAACTCAGGGAACTGGCTCTTCCTTGGGCGGTGTAGATGGTAGAGTTACAATCATCCCAGAAGACGGAGGGCAAGTGTAAGACTTATTAAAAGCTCTTAGTAGTAACCTAGCACTTATACTCATCAAAGGAATCTTACTAACCCTGTATAATCATATGCATGTAGAGAACTAAATTACTTTTGATTAGCATCCATTGATTTGGGTGTTGTAGGGATGGGAGAATAATGTTTCCCTTTCAGGTTCTGAACTCCACAAAACCTTTCCAGAAGGGGGAAGGAAACTACTACCACTTCAACACTGACAATATGTCAATGAACTTTCTGCCTTGTCTCATTACATTCTTACCAAAAAAGTCCTTGGAGTAGATATTATTGTCATTCTCGTTTTACAGAACAGTGGAACAGGGACTTAGAGCAAAGACTTGTTTGTACATATAACAAATACATTTATCATAAGCACATCCTACTAAGAGAGTTTATTTCTGCCTTTTTACCTTATTTTTATGTTCAAAATAAATGTCTAGAGGTGCAAAATAAGGTTGATCACTTTAAGAGCAGAGTCACTTTATGTCTTCAGAAATCCAAGTAAAATTTTTAGTCGAAGATACTTTTTAGCATTCTATGCCAAATAGCTTGAATATAAACAGAGCTACCTTGGGACCTTTCTTTCTTTTTATGTCTTATCCAATGTTTTAAAGACTCTAGAACTCTGAGTTCTTAAAGTACTGGTATTGGTGAGTCACTTATATGATTTAGCTATAAAAAAATTCCTTGACCTACCCCCAAACAGACACTGTATTTAAAAGTCTCCGCAGTGCACGCCCACCTTCCTCACAGAGCCTGCTGGTGTTGTTTCGTGTCTGAGGTATCACAGACGAGCTCAGGCAGCAGTCCTTGTTGACTTCTCAGGGTGGAAACTGGCCTTGAACACAAAACCTAGGGCTCCCTTACAGTTACACGGGCTCAGTTCTCCCTTCCTGCTGTGTTATTGCCCTGGAGCACAGCTCATCTAGTGAGAGGCAGACGTAGCACAGGGGCTTGGACTCCCAGGCCGTCCTGGAAGGTGCATGGTGCAGGGTGTCCAACCCGCAGCCTACGGGCTGTATGTGGCCCAGGATGGCTATGAATGCAGCCCAACACAACACTCTACATGTACTTAAACCATCAAGTGATTTTTTTGTTTGGTTTTGTGAGTGTTTGTGCATTTAATGTGTGGCCCAAGACAACTCTTCTTCTTCCAGTGTGGCCCAGAGACACCAAAAGTTTGGATACCCCTGGTACAGTGTTAGGGCCACACTTTTCCCTTCATGAACACTACTGATATCTTTTTGGATGTCACTGGGGCCGGGAAGGATGACAGCCAAGGCAATGTCCCGGGTGAGGCTGGGGTGAGGAGAAGATCCTTTTTTCCCGCCCTGTCTTTTCCCAGTGGTGCATGTGTAGAACTGGGGCCCAGAGAGGAGTGTGACTTGCTCAGCGTCACGTAGAGATTAATGGCTGGGCCAGCATGAGAGACCAGATGCCGGTGCCCAAGCCCCAAGCTTTCCTACTGTTCATGGAGCTAGCCTCCCTTTGCCCTGCTATTATGGAGCAAGTGTTCTCTCTGATTCCTATCCAAGCCCTGGTTCTTTCTTACTGTCCAGATCCTCCCAACACGTACGTGATCAACAGTCAGTATTAAGTTTTCTGTTTGAAATACTGACTTTGGTTTCTGTGTTCATTACTAAACTCCGACTGATGAGCAAGAGCCTGGCCTTTCAGCTTTGATAGTGCAGTGCTATCAAAGCGGTCAAGGTCTGACCTTGGACAAAGACTCCTCAGGGTGTGGACTTCTTCAACTGTAGGAGTGACCTTAAGATGCGGACTATTAAAAAACAAAGCAGTGAGTAGCCATTACATTCACCCAGATTTCCAACGAGACTGTGGGGTCTGACAACACCTTGCTGCTCTTTGAACCTGGATTTTAGCTCCACTTTTACTATTGATTTGCTGTGTGATCTTGGGTGTCTATTTCCGACTAGTAGCTTTCATTTGTACATTTGTAAAAAAATAAAAAGGAGGGTTATGGGGGCTATTGGAGCTCTCTAACTCCCTCAACTGGGACATTCCCAGAGTTTGCAAACCACCCACAGCTTTCTCTGGGCATTTCTGGCTCTGCAAGAAGCTTTGGGGTGAGAATAAGAAGGAGAGGGAAGACAAGGTGTCCCAGGTTTGCATGGCGCCATGAATAACACCTGAAGATTCCACTGGAGGTGTCCATTGGAGGTGTTCTAACAGGCCAAGAAATGAGCAAACAGTTGATAACAAAGAGGTACAGCATCTTTGCTGTAATGACATCACTGATGTCATTATAAGGCGTGGAGATCCCTGTACTCTGCCACAAGGGCTCAGAGCTCTCTGCCGAGCACAGCAGGTGCACAGATACTGTCAACTACAGGGAACACGCTGGCTCTTCCCAAGGACCTCTCTGGTCCATGGGCTCCCAGCGTAGATGATGCTGTCCCAGTCACTCATGTACATCAACCCCAAGCAAGGATTGGGAAGCTCCAATGTGATGGGAAAGCCCCAGGTGCCTACCAGATTGGGCAGGACTCCTGAGTTGCCTTATCTTCTTAACTTTAGAAGTATTCCTTGACATTAGTCCATTGCCTTCAACTTGCCTTCAACTGATGGGAAACTGAGGTCCTGAGAGGAACGTCCCTGCACTCTACCCTGTCCCAACCAGGTTTCTTGATGGAATTGTACGAAGAGAATTTATTTAAATTGCTGTATTTTTAGAACACAAACCTTTAATAGGACTACAAATATCAAGTATGGCTGTGCATTCATGCTTCTGTTTTATGCATCTAACCAGTCAAAATAAAAATAGAATCATTTTTGGGTCAGCCACATTCAACAAAGGACCTAATTATCTTTCCATAGTAATTGAGTTTCGCGTGCTTGCTGCCATATATGTAAAAACTGTAATAATTAGTCTATATGGATTTTGTGCAATTTGTGGTATTTGTTAGCTTTCTAAAAATGTTCCTTCTCATTTGAAATAATATTCACTTCTTAATTTAAGTTGTATTCATTTTTAAAAGGACACTCCTAACTTTATAAACTTTAGACCATACAAAACATGGATCTGCTGTGGATCTTCAGCATCTTGTGACAACTTCACCAGGGCAACAGGGTCACCAGAGTTCTCCACCTGCAGGGTTTTCCTGCTCCTCCCTCTTGACATCACTAGGAGACCCAGTGGCTTCTCTGAAAACCACACTGGGGCATCAGATGTGAATTTTTCAGCCTTGGAGAAACCAGATCTCACAGAGCACTTTATTGGGGGAAACGGGGGCCTCCAAAGCATACATGGAGGCCCTGAAAGTCAAAGAGACAGGGACACATACTGAGAAAGGGTCAAAAGGTGAAGGGCATTATGCTTGAAGAGAAGCTGAACTGGAGGAAAGGGAGTAAGCAAATCCTGGGGTTCTGTGTTTGGAACAGCCAAGGTCCTGGGCAGCCGAGGTGTGGCCAGTGGAAACCAATATGGAGCATCAGTCAAGCGCAAGTGTAGAGAGACTGGGTTATGAGCCAGGTCCTGGAGGTTGTCCCAGTTCAGGTTAGGTTATCCTAGTCAAGAAGACGACTCTGCAAGATAGCAGGATAGAAAAGGGTGAGATGCTGGGGCTCTGATCCCCTTAGGAAAAAAATCTTGCAGTTAATGGAAAAAGGGAGGTAAGGTTAGTGCGTGTGTGTGTTATTCTGATAGTAGGATTGTTAAAGCTGGGGACAGTGAAGCAAAGGGAGGGCTTAGGGTAGGAGAAGCAACAGGAGAGAGCCCGGGCGGGGCTCTGCTTTGGATTCTGGAAACGTTACAGGAAAGAAGTGAGCCACGCTGGGCCGGGTGGACTCACTGAGAAGTGAGCATCACAGGGACGGAAGTGAGCCAAGGTGGGGCTGCCGTTAGCTCACTGGGAAGTCAGAGAAAAGGGGGCCTTGGAGACAGGTTCCTGGTGTTAGCTTGGGAGGAGCTGCTGCTGCCTGCTGCTCCCCTCATTGCAAGTCTTGCCAGGACCCTCAGAGCTTAGGAGAAAGCAGAAATACACGCCTGAGAAAAGGGGGAAGAAAGGTGTGGGCGTGCTCAAGGTAATATCACTTTGACATCTTTTCACAGGAAGAGGAAACAGAAGTGGAGTGACTCGTGTGGCTCTGGTTTTTCCAGTAGAGCCCCAGTTTATGTCTGTCCTCTCAGTATAATGAGTAACTGCATTCCCTTCCTCAAAAGTGTCTTGGTGTGGTCAATAAAGCATTTGGTTGTCCTGGCTATAATCACCTTAAGAAGGGAACGAGAATTGGTGATGAGGTTTGGTGAGAAGTAAAGGCCTGGAGTGACTGACAGGTGCATGGTGCCCAGCACCGAGCCGATTCACTGGGCTTCCTTCTGACTTAGTGTCGGACACTCACCACTTTTGCTTCCTCTCTCTGCACCCCCTGTTTATCTCATACTTGCCAACTTTTTCTCCTGCTCCCCATCCCACCCTCTTTTTCCTCTACTAACCCCTCTGAAGGTGCATTCTTACCTCCTGATTGAATTGGCCAGTCCCAAGCTGGCCAATTTCCTGAAATAGACCAGCCAACACCCAAACCTCCCAGGGTAGCTAGCCCAGATGAGCATGACAGATGGGACCCCTAGGACTTACATTTCTCTGAGCAGAAGGCCTTGCAGGCAGATTCAGATCGAAAGTTGTTATTGTTTCCTTGGCAACCACCATACATGAATTTGGAGCATGCCTGAGTTTCCATATTATACCACCAGCGTGGAAGGAGGGCCAAGCAGGGGCCAACTACCTGTGGCAAACTGCATATGTCTGCAGAGAGATTGCAGAGAAGAGCAGTTCGGGTGCCTGCCTACCTAGAGAACATTTCAAGCATGTGCAAAGGCATGGAGGAGTGACGCTCTCACACTCCTCCATGCCTTTGCACGTGCCTGAAATGTCCGTCCGTCTTTTGCTCACTAGGTACATTCCTTTTCGTTCTTCAAAACACTTCCCAGACCTCAAACTCTTCTGCATTGCATTTCCTGGCCCCATGCTTCACTCCTTGCTTTTCTTTATTGCTTCTCAGTCTTGCACACACATTCACTGCTTCGATGCAATTATTTGTACGCATTTTCTGACTCCTCCATGAGAATGTGAGATTTGGGCCTTTTGCAATCTCGGTACTCCAGTTCCTAGCAGATAGCTTGGCACTGAGTGGACGCTTCAGGATTGTTCACAGCAAAAAAAATCAAGTGTATCCCCCTACATTTTTCTTACAGATGGGGAAACTAAGGCCCATAAAGTAAAAACTTTGTTACTCACATCACATACTTAAATAGGAGCAAAAAATGAAATAAAACCCAATTGTTGATAGATTTGTATATATTTTTTGCCATTTTATTATTCATAGTTTTGATCTTTTCTTTAACATTCCTTATAATGATGGTTTGGTGATGATGAACTCCTTTAGTTTTTTCTTGTCTGGGAAGCTCTCTATCTGCCCTTCGATTCTAAATGATAGCTTTGCTGGGTAGAGCAAATTTGGTGGTAGGTCTCTGCTTTTCATGACTTCGAATATTGCTCGCCAATCCCTTCTAATCTGCCTGCAAAGTTTCTTTTCAGAAATCATCTGACTGTCTTGTGGGAACTCCCCTGTGGGTAACTTTTATTCCTGCTGCCTTTAAGCTTGTCTCTTTATCTTTAACCTTTGGCATTCTAACTATGAGTGGCCTCTTTGCATCCATCTTGTTTGGGACTCTCTGTGTTTCCTGGACTTGCATGTCTATTTCCTTCACCAAATCAGGACGTTTTCATCATTATCGTTTCAAATAGTTTTCCAATTTCTTGCTCTTCTCCTTCTGGCACACCATGAGAATGCTGGACCTCTTAAAGTTGTCACAGAGGCTGTTGATACTATCCTCTTTTTTTTTCTATTCTTTTTTTCTTCTTGTTGTTCTGATTGGTTGATTTTTGTTTCCTGATGTTCCAAATCATTGATATGATTCTTGGCTTCATCCACTCTACTGTTGTGTCCTTATAAATTGTTTTTTACTGCAATTAGTGTATCTTTTATTTCTGACTGGATCTTTTTTGTGCTGCTGAGCTCCTCAGTAAGTTCCTCGAGCATCTGTATAAGCAGTGTTTTGAATTCAACATTTAATAGATTGCTTGTCTCCATTTTGTTTAGCTCTTTATCTGGAATTTTTGATCTGTTCTTTCATTTGGGCCATATTTCTTTGTCTCCTCATTTTGGCAGGCTCCCTGTGTTTGTTTCTATGTATTAGGTAGAGTTGCTTTGACTCCATGTCTTGGTAGTGTTGCTTAATGTAGTAGATGTCCTGTAGGGTCCAGTGGCACAGCCTCCCCTATCATCCAAGCTGGGTACTCGAGGTGCACCCTTCGTGTGGGCTAAGTACGCCCTCCTCTTGTAGTTGAGCCTTGATTACTGTTGACGAATCAATGGGAGGGACTTACCCAGGCCAGCCAGCTGCAAGAATTGGCTATAACCATTTACCGCAAACCTCCATCCCCTGTGGAGGATCAGCTGTACAGGGGCAGGGTGGTGGTGCTCCAGTGTGGTCTGTAGCAATCCACTGGGTACGCTGGTCTTGGAGTTTCCCAGGTGGTACAGGCCAAGTTCAGTCCCCACCTGTGTTTTTCCCAGTGCCACCCTGCCTGAGTTATAAAGGAGTCTGAGATGGCTGCTGCTTATGCTGGGCTTTGGAGATTCCCAAGCAAAGCCAAGCTGTGAAACTAGGCTAGCTGCTGCTAGTGCCAGGCCTAGGGCTCACTGGGGCCAGCTGTTGCTTGTTTGATAGGATTTAGGAAGTTATGAGTCATGAGCCAAAACCAGCTATTCGTATGAAAAAGCAGCTTTGGTGGGCCCACAAATTGAGTGGGGTAGAGTGAGTGAGTAGAGTCTCTGAGGATCTCCAAGGCTGGTTAAACAGTGTTAGCCAGGTTGATGGAGTCTCAGATATGACACCAGCTCGCCAGCTCTCTGAGGGGGAGGATTTAGAAAAGGGACAATGGGCCCTGGCTGGTGTAGCTCAGTGGATTGAGCTCGGGCTGTAGTTGAGGTCACCGGTTCAATTCCCAGTCAGGGCACATGCCTGGGTTGCAGGCCGGGTCCCCACTGGGGGCCACATAAGACGCAACCACACACTGATGTTTCTCTCCCTCTCTTTCTCCTTCCCATCCCCTTTCTTTAAAAAAATAATAAATTATTTTAAAAATAAAAAATAATAAAGAAAAAAAGAAAAGGGACAATGGCCTCTCCCCACCTTGATGCCTGTATACCAGTGGTGCCTTTCAAGCTGCTACCCTGGTGCTGGAGCTCAGAGGGAGTGAGTCTGAGTAGGTGAGTTCGTTTGTAGGCTCTTTAGGAGGAACTGCTTGGGGCTCCAGAAGTTTCTTCCACCAATTCAATCCCCATGGGCTTTTGCAGCTGGAAGTTGTGAGGACTTATCTTCCTGGCACTGGAACCCTGGGCTGGGGGGCACCTGATGTGGGGCTGGGACTCCTTATTCCTGAGATATCCCTACTGAATTTTTATCCACCACACGTGGGTGAGGGCTTAGCCTGTTCCGCATCTGTGCCCCTCCTACCAGTCTGGATGGATGTGGTTTCTTTAATTCTATAGTTGTCAGATTTCCATTCAACTTGATTTCTGACGGTTCTGAATGATGGTTGTTCTATATTTAGTTGTAATTTTGATGTGATTGTGTGAAAAGGTGAGCCATGTCTCACCTTATCGCCACCATCTTGATCAGAAGTCCCAAAACATTGTCATCACAAAAGAAAACCCCATACCCATTAACAGTCACTCTGTTATCCCTCAGCCTACTCCAGCTCCTGGAAACCACTAAACTATTTTCTACTTCTATGAATTTACCTATTCTGGATGTTTTATGTAAATGGAATTATAGAGTGTAGGGCCTTTTGTGTCTGGCTTCCTTTACTTAGCGTAATGTTTTTGAGGTTCATGTACAGAGTAGTGTCTACATGTGCTTCATTCCTTTTTATGGCTGAACAATAGTCAGTGCACAATGATAGCTTTCCACCTTGAGCTTCAGAGTCTCTGCTTCTCCGCTGTGGGTTTTTCATGGCTCCTGGGAGCTTGCTTAGATTGTGTGCAGAACACAATCTAAGGGATTGTGTGCAATCCCTAGAAAAATGAGGGATTTCATGCCCCCAGACACCCACTAGGGTATGGGAGTCAGTGGATACCCACCTCAGCTTCCCCATAACTGAAGACAGGTTTTTTAAAATATGGAAACATGTTTTACATGGTCCCTTAGAAGGTCTCCAATAGGATTAAGCTATAGTTTCTCACAGTAGCAACTTGCTCATAATCAATTTCTCACTTTCCTGTATCACTTACCCCACTCCCTACATTTATGTCCCAAATAAAATACTTTCACCCATGCCCTTGTCCTAGGACCAATTTCTGGGGGCTCCAAACTAAGGCAATGCCCATGGGCCCCTGTCAGAAAAGGGTCTGAAATTCTTTTGAAGAAACAGAGGAGGATAACAATATCCCTGGGGTTCTCAACTTTCAAGGTTCTGATTTTCTTCATGCCCCTGAATGGTGTCTCCAGGAGCCCCAGTGAGCTTTTACTCTCCACAAACCATAATGTGCCAACTGATGGGAATCATTCAGCCTCAGAGGCACAGGGTCACACAGAGCACCTTATTGGGAAAAACTGGGAGCTGCACAGGTATAAACAGGGGGTGTTAGAAGTTGGACTATAGAAATGGGATCAAAGCAGGATATCATGGCTGTGGCTGGTGTGGCTCAATTGCTTGGGCATCGTCCCACAAACTAAAACATGGATTCGATTCCCAGTCAGGGCACATGTCTGGGCTGTGTGTTCAGTCCCCGTAGGGGTGCATGTAGGAGGCAACCAACTGATGTTTCTTTCTCACATCAATGTTTCTCTTCTCCTCTTTCTCCCTCCCCTCCCCTCTCTCTGGAATCAAAGAAAGGAAGGGAGGGAGGAAGAGAGGGAGGGAGAGAGGGAGGTAGGGAGAGAGGGGGGAGAAGGATGGAGGGATTTTTAAGAAAAACAGGATATTATGTATGAAAAGAGACTGAGATGGAGCAAGAGGGAGGCAGATCCTGGGGTTCTGTTTTGGGAAGGGCTAAGGCCTTTGAATGCTGGGAGTGGAACCCATCCTGGAGCATCGATCAGGCGCACAGAGCCTTGAATCAGGAGCCAAAGCCTGAAGGTTGTTCCGGTGTATCTGTATTCTCAGGATGAGGAGACTGTTGAGAAGGTAGGACAGGACCAGCTGAGCATTTTTGGGCTTGCCTATCTTCAGAACTAGTCTTGAAAGTCACATTTGTTCATCTTGCATAGAACATCAAAAGGAACTGGGTTTACTTTGAGAAGCTAGGAATCTCCTAAAGGAAAAACGGATGTGGAGAGGAGTGGATGGATGATGGGAGTGGACTGCTAGCCAAGAGTGGTAATGAGGAAATTAAAGGCCTGGGGTGGTCAGTCAACATGTCCAATGCGAGGGCGGATGTCCTGTGAGCTCTCTGAAGTTGGGTCCCTGAGATTTCACCACATCTGCATCCTCGCTCCACCCCTCATGCTGGCCAGCTTTGATTCATGACCATGTCCCTTCCCAACCTCAGTTTGCAGGAAGCCACTGTCCAACCCTCTGTGAGATGTATTCTCACCTCCTGATTGGAGCTGGTTCTGTCTGCACCTGGTCCACCAAGAAAGTAGCCTTCCCAGATTAGACCAGCCAACACCCAGACCTCCCCTGTGGCCCTGGCGAAGATGAAAGATTGGGGCCCTTGGGACTCACGTTTCTTGGAGCACACGCTCAGGCACAGGTCTTTGGATTGGAAGTTGTTATTGTTTCCCTGGCAGCCGCCGTAGTCAAAGTCGTAACAGGTATCATTTTTCTTATCATACCACCAGCGAGGAAACAAAGCTAAGCAGGGCCCAATATCTTTCGGCAAACTGCATATGTCTGCAGGGAGACCCCAGAGTTGAGAACTTGAAGAATGTCCACCCCGCAAAAGTACAACTGTTACTGTCCCTCCCACAACCCCCATAGATGACACTGAGTGGTCTCCTTTCACCTTGTCATACCTCAGGGGCCCAGCTCCCTCTGCAGGGAGACCCCCAAAGTGGAGCTCTTTGGGTGCCTCCACCCCTGGAGAACATCGGTATCTCCCTTCACGTCTGGTCACTGGCCTCATTGTCTCTCCAGAGAGTGAGCAGGCTCTGGTTTCAAGGTCCTTTTCCTAATTCAGTGTCTGCCCATCAACCTCCCATATTACCTGCTTTGTCCTTGACTTCCTTCTCTGTAAAGTGGAAATGCAAAATCCTACCGTGCTTGCTGCACAGGGCTGTCCTGAGGGGCAAGTGAGACCACCCTCCTGGCCCCCTGAGCTGTGAGCTCCTTGATTGTCCCTGAATGAGCGGCTTCTAGCACTGTGCCTGGCAGAGAGTAGCTCAGCGGCTCAGTAAACACGCCCCGAATGGTTGAAAGAGATGGAAGTGCCTTGGAAATGACCAACTGTAAGCCATCTACTCTGCCTTCCAAACTGTGTCAAGAAGAGACTATGGGATCATGAGTCAAGTGAAAGTTGCTGCAGGGAAGGAGAGGGTGGTTTTTTTGGAAAGTCAAGCACCTTTTCTTTCTGCAGTCAGCTTCAGTCCTGTTGTGGGTTGAACTGCATCTCTCCCCACCCCCTCGCCCTTCATATGGTCAAGTCTTAACCCTCAGAGTGTGACCCTCTTTGGAAATAGAGTTGTGGCAGATGTAATTAGCTGAGATGAGATGAGTCATACTGGAATAGGGTGCATCTCTAACCCGACATAATGGATGGCCTCGTAAAAAGGAGAAATTTGAGCATGGACACACACAGGGAGAGCTCTCTGTGAAGATAAAGACAGAGGTTTACAAGATTTCCAGCCAAAGATTTCTGGCAAACCACCAGAAATCGGGGAAGAGGCGGGGAACACATTCTCTTGCACAATCTGAGAAAGAACCAATCCTGCCAACACTTGACCTTGGACGTCTAGCCTGCAGAACTGTAAGACAACACCTTTCTGTGGTGAAAGCCACCCAGTCTGTGGGTCTTTGTTACAGCAGCCCCAGCAAACTAACACAGATCGGAAACCGTGAGTTCAGCTAAATAGTTGGGTTCTACTGACTTTCACTTCCTCATAGCTAACCTCTCTGTCACGTTCTCATCAAATTGTATTTGTTTTTCAATTACAGTTGACATTTCATATTATATCAGTTTCAAGTGGACAGCATAGTGGTTCGATATTTATATTGTAGCTTATGAAGTGATCCCCCTGTAAGTCTGGTACCCACCATACATAGTTACTACAATATTTAAAAAATTTTCAATCACAGTTTACATTCTGTATTCTTTTGTATTAGTTTCAGGAGGACAGCATAGTGGTTAGACAATCGCATACTTTACAGGGTGATCCCCCTGATATCCCAGCACCTACCCACCGGGCACCATACATGGTTACCACGGTGTTACTGACTGTATTCCCTCTGCTGTACTTCACGTCCCCGGGACGATTTTGTAACTGCCACTTTGTACCTCTTCATCCCTTTACCTCTTTCCCTCAGCCCTGCAACTTCCTCCCACCGGGCAACCATCACCTTGTTCACTGTATCTAGGAGTCTGTTTCTGTTTTGTTTGTTTTGTTTATTAGATTCCACGTATGAGTGAAATCCTACATGTTTGTCTTTGTCCGACTTATTTCATTTAGCATAATGTGCTCTAGGCCGATCCAGGTTGTCACAAATGAGGAGATTTAATTCTTTTTTAGGGCTGAGTCATATTCCATTGTCTACAGGCACCATGTCCACTCCTCGCTTTAAGTCTGTGTCTCGTGCCTGGACAGTTGAGATGGCCTCGAACGGACCTCCCTGCCTCCGCCCCTGTTCCTTCCAATCCGTCCTTCGCGCTGCCCAGCAGGGAGAAGGACCCGGTGCATCTGAAGCAGCGCTGGTCGCAGCATTCTGCACTCACGTTCTGCCTCCTGCCTGTGGCTCTGGCCTCCTCCCACCGTGGTTCCCTTCCGGGCTCCACGCCCCTGCACCCGCACCCCGCCATGCTGTCCCCCGCTGTCACACCTCTCACTCCACAGCCCCTCTGCCTACCCCAATGTTGTTCATTAGTGACACTCCTTTTCTCCCTTCAAAACCTTTCTGGGACATCAGCTTCCATGTGGTGTCTCTGACTCCATTCTGCATTCCACCCCCCTCACGTGCCGGAACTGGCCGGGCATCTTTCGATGGTGCTTCTGAATGGGGCACATTTGTCACCTGTGTCCATCTTCGGCCTCGACTGTGAGGTTGTGAGTTTCTAATGAACAGATTATAACTGATTTGGTCTTGGAAACCCCATTCCTAGCAGGCAGTCTGGCACAGTGTAGAATCTGGCAGAACGTTGAGGGTAAAGCAAAGAATGAATGAGGAGTCTTTGACTGGGACTGGATCAGCCACTGAGCGCCAACCATGTGCTAGACACTTGAGGAGACCAAGGAAAGGGTTGGCCCTGCTGTGCGAGAGCTCCCGGTCACGAATGACGAATAGTTAAGCTAATATGTGTCACATGACTCTGGTCTACCAGGCAGCGCTCACAGCACTTCACGCACATCAACTCCCTGAGTCCTTCAAGTAACTCTAATGTCAGCCCTTTCATTATCTGAGGAAATGGAGGCACGGAGAGGGGAAGTTATTCCTTTGCCCCCCACCCCCAAGATACATAGGCTGGTGGAGACTGGAGCCGAGGTTTGACCTCGGGAAGTCTGAATTCAGAATCCCTCCTCTGCAGGCAAATGAACGGCTCACCATCCTCCTGCCTCCCCGCTCTGCCCCATGGTCAAGTCCGGTTTACTTTACCTCCTGAACGCCTATGGGACACACCCCATTCTTCTTCATCCCCTCAGCCACCTCCCTCGTCCAAGCTGCCATTGCCTTTCATCCTGAAGTCCTTCAAGACAGTCCATTTCTCCTCTGCAGGCAGAGTGGGAGCCTGTTCGTGTCGCCGCCCACCTCAGTGAGTCTCCATTGCTCTTAAGAGACTCCAGCCCACTGGACCCTACCTACCCGCAATGTTTTTCTCCATGTACCACGCTGATACTCCCTCAGCTCCTCTGTGAAGTACATGTTGTTCCCTGTGCCTGGAGAGCCCTTCCATCCACTTTGGCCTAAATGTACTCCCTGCCCTTCTGAATTCAACTCCACTTTTGCTTTCTCGGGGAAGCTTTCCTCAACCTCCCTGGCTGCCTTGGTCAGATCCCACTGACTTTCAGAGACGCAACATTTGTTCAAGGAATGAGGAAAGAATCTTTGATAGTCTTTTGGAAACCCGGGGAGATGGGCATGGAGTGAAGACTGTAGCAGCAAAGGAAAAGCGCTCCAGTCTGCAGGGGTCAGGGGTCAGGGGAGGTTTCCTGGCGTGCCAGGTCAGACTTGTGGGGTTAGGCAGGGAGGCGGACACTCCAGAGCAGAAAGTGTCATTATCTCTCACAGCGACAAGGTCGGTATAGGGTGGCCCCCAAAGTAGTAAGAGTAGAAAGTAGCCAAGAGAAAATCTGGTTCGACCACACCCTTATACCCTCCTTGTGGGGGAAGAAACCGAAGCCCGGACAAAATGAAGATCCCATCTACTGTCAGACGTCCGTCCTGTTAGGGGCAGGGACGAGTGCTGTTATCAGGTCTCCCACGTCCCGCACTGTTGCCCAGAGACCAACCCTTAGCAAACCAGCAACAAAGGCAGCCCAAGTGGGCCGAAAGCGAGGGCTTGGGGAGAAGAATTGGTTATTCCGACGCTCTGAATCGTACCTTCTTTGAGGTCTACACATTTTTTTCCGCAGCCAAAGACGCAGCACTTCATGTTGCCTGGACAGTTTTTGTCCTTCTTACATATATCCCTTTCTTTGAATTCACATTTCTCTTGGCTTTTGGGGCATCTCTCTGCAAAAGGAACAGTCTTATCACCACAAGGCTTGGAGGGCACAGTGTCTACTCTTCTCCAGACCCAAGGCAATTCTGGGGGTGCAGGGAAATTTGCTTCTACTTTGCTCATCTCCAGGAGCCCTCGTCCTCAGGGTGCCCTTTCGTGTCTCCCAGCCCTGCCCACACTGCTCTCCCTCCTGACCGCCCCTCACTCCCCACCTTCCTGTCCCATCCTCGGTTCTATCCTCTGGCCCCACCCCTTTGAAGGCAGGACTTCTCAGCCTGGACACTAGGGGCAGTCTGGCTGGACAATTACTTGATAGGAAAGAGAGACCTGTCTTGTGCACCATAGAATGTGTAGCGACATCCCTGGCCTCTCTCCACCAGATGCCAGTAGCTCCCCCCAGTCATAACTCAGAATATCTCCAGACTTTGCAGATGTCCCCTGGAGGGCAAAATCACCTTATTGGAAGCCACTGGTCTAAAAGAATCTGGTCGTTTCAGCCTGGTTGGGGACTCAGTGTTTGGGAGTTCCTTCTGAGGGGTGCTATTGTACAGTGGTTAATATCACTCATCCTGGCATCAGACAGTTAGGTTTTTAAATCCTTAACTCTTGGTTTTACCATTGACTCTTTCTGAGCCTTGGTTTCTTCACTGATAAAATCGTCATAGCCTTACGGAGTTATGAGGAAGAAACAAGACAGTGTGTAGAGCTAGAATCATAGTAACCGATACACAGTAACATTAACTAACATCTGTTAATTATTTACAAAAGGCCAAGCACTCTTCTAAGCAATTTAAATGTATTCTCTCATTGAATCCCCATGATGGCTCTATGAGGGAAATTCTATTGATATCCCTATTTTGCAGATAGACAAACCAAAGCAGGTGGAATTTAAGTAACTTGTCCAAGGTTACATGGCTACTGAGTAGTGGAACCAAAATTTGGACCACCAAGTGTAGCTCCAGATCCCTCTCTTTAAATCCCTACTTTCTGAATGTTTTGTCAATGGCAGCAATTATCATTAATACTATATAGTCATGGAGCACTACTGTCTGAAGTTCAAAGGAATTTTTGAGTACTGTCTTTTATACCAAAGTCAAGGAACCCCTGGGGTGCAGTGCTACTGTATGGGACTGTATTTGAAAGAATCCAGAGTTCATAGGGATGATGTCCCAAGGAAGGGGGCTATCTTCGTTGTGGGGTGAGGAGAAGGTCCCTTAGGCTTCCTGGAATTCTACAGACCCTCCCACAAATGCTTTATCCCATGACTCTCCCCGCCCTTCCTCCCTCCCCCCTAGAAAGACCCTCTACTTCAAAGAGGCTGAAAGTAATGGTTGCCTTAGATCTGGACTCTTGCATTCACGGAAGGGATCTTCCACAGAGAGGGAAATAGGAAGAAACACTTCAAACATCTCTCTGCTTTCCCAGCCCGGGACCAAGGCTAAGGCAGTGAAAAGCAACTCAAGTCTAAGGAATAATTGTTCCTCATTCCTTCCTTCCAGCACCACTTCCTTCTCTCCCAGGCAGGGCTGAGGCCCCAATACTTACTGGGCATTAACAAGTCACTCAGAGTAAATACTTGGACATTCACGACAAGGATGAACAGCAGCAGGATCCTCAGAAGTCCAGAAAACGCCATTCTAAAGAAGAGCTGGCCTGTCTGTCCGGTGGATCCAGAACGAGAAAATGTCTGGCTGCCTTTGTCCAGCCTATTTTTTCAGTCGTCAGTATTTTAGATATGGAGTCAGGCCAGCCTCCCCCTTTCTTCCTGGGAACACCGAGTTCCTGAGACTATCAGTGTGACTAGCTGGCACATATAGCTCACGGCCCTGGGGAAAGGTCTCTTATTGGATAGCTCCTGATCCTTAGCCCCTTGGGCTGGGCTGGGCCACTTGGTCAACCAGAGGGGGAGTGGGCAAAGCTTGTCTCACATTCCAGGCTACCATAGGAGTAAATGGGGTCTTCTTGACAACTTTGAGACTTGCGGACTGTCCTCATTGTCTATTCATTTTCCATTTGATCTGCACACTGGCACACCCCTTTTGTCTCTGACAATGTGTTGTTTGTTTGTTTTTGATCTCTTGGTATCTCTTTGTTTCTCTGTGCCTCTCTGTTGTCTATGCCTGGCTTTTTCTTTCTCGGTGCCTCTCCTATAATCTCTGTGTCTCTTTCTCCCTTTCCCACATTTTCCTCCTGTCCCCCTCTCTTTTCTCTTTAGGTCGCTGATACTCTTTGACTAAGGCCAAAGAGTAAAGATGTTGCCCCAGTTGCCCCAGAGTAGCAAAGTTAATAGATAGAGTTTGTCAATGTTGTGTTGCTTGGAGAGCAGGAGAGAATGTCAGAGCTTCTAGAAAGCTTCTATCATCAGGTGCAAAAACTCCTTGTTGTCTGAGGAGGAACTGTGAAGCAAAGAGACTGGCCTGAGAGGCTACAATTCAATAAAGTCAATAACACAGCAGAGTTGCTGGATTCTAATTAGAATACTGGAAAGGCCATTCGAGAGAGTGCTGGCCTACTTGGCACCTTTCCTGCAGCAGCAGAATCCAAAACATGAGCCAGTCAACCAGTCTTCGCAGAGGGAGGGACACTCTTCCAAGAGTAAATGTCACCTCTAAGGGTCCCATTCCCTTTCCAAATTAGCTACTGCCCTTCTGGGCCAAGCTTTGTTCTCCAACTTTCCTACCTGATGGACAGAAGCCATCCAAAGCCAGCCTTATCATCAGTGAGTGACTATATGGTCACAGAATTTAGGACCACAGACAGAGCCCCTCAGCCTGTGGATAGTGGTGTCCTTGGCTAGGAATGTCTACAGTCAGGCGGCTGTATTCACTCAGGTAGTGAACCCCACAGGCATGCCCCTACCACCTCCAGGACCAATGTGGTGCTTGGACCAGCCCTTGTGGCTCTTACTCTGATGGCAGGACTCACCTCTACAAAACTGTCAGGGAACTTTGAAGATTTATTACTCACAGGTCCCAAAGGATACACAGTAGGCTGGAGGGCCACAAAGCAAGGTCAAGGGCAGAGAGAGGAGCAGGAAGTGAGGATGTGGGGCTCTGGCTTTATTAAAGTCCAAGTGTGGGGTATATAGGGTTTCACAGTTCACTCTTTATTACAGAATTGGAAGCATAAAAGTGGGAATTGGGGCATGGGAAGGGAGAAGCAGGGTTGCTCCAGGGGTCAGCCTTCTACCCAGGGTACTCAGGGCTTCCTAACAAAGGGGACTCCATGCATGGGGGCAGTCTAGTCCTTTATCTAGTTGTTTTGCTAATGGCTGTGTCTTCGGCTGGAAATAGGTTTATTAGAGGTGGATAAACACCTCTTTGAAATAAACTCCTTTGCCATCAAAACCTTAACCTCAGGTACTTACCGTACAATAAAAAAGCTTAATGCCAGATGCTTAAACTACACAATTCCATCCCGTCAACTTCAGTGTCTCACCAGATCCCCCACAGACACTAAGGAATAGATTTTCTAATGAACGACCGAGACGTCTTCAGCAGCCCTGTCCCTCTTATCTCTACTACCTGCCTTCTCCCACACTCCGCCCCGGAGGAGATGGAAGGCCGAGACACCCAGGTGCCAGGATTCTGAGGGCCCATCAGGTCCCGTTTCCCCCTCTTCCAGGTAGGGATCACGAAGGCCCTGCAAAGCGAAAGGTGTCAGCTAATGTCACCCGGCAAGTGAGTGTCAGAGACAAAGTTGAGAGGGAGCTGAGTGTCTAAGTTCTTGCCACGGGCCACTAGGGAATTTTCTGATATTAGTGTAAGTGTGATATTTTACTATGGAGTTGAGGGTAGGGAGGAACTGTGGGTCCAAAGAGAATGAAAGTCACGCCCTCAGTGAGGACGGGGGCTAAAGACACACAGAGTCGACAAATGTCCAGCTGGTTCCCAGGGCTCCCAAGCAAGGTAAAATTTTCTCAAAAGTAAATGAAAACTCAGAATTTTTTTTAAGCAGGAAACAAAACACCTTTATTTCTATCAAATTAAAAAGTATGAATAATCCTTAAGTAAGATAATCAAAATAATCACACAATGAATAGTTAGAAGAGCATTTACAGATTAGATTTAGATACTTTGAATTAAGCACATACACCCAAATCACCGAAATCAAGAGGGCTGATGGCTTTCACACCGAAAAGACCCTGGCTCATCCTAAACACGTGACTTCTGGTCAAGTGGAGTTGTCATTTCACAGGACAGTAAACCAAAGAGACATTAGGTTAGAGAGCTACTTGAGCTCAAAAGAGATCACAGTGAAACGGCACTGGAACCCAACAGTGTCCTTCAGAGGTCTGTTTATCTAAAAAATAACTGTATAAAAATCAGGAGTACAAATTCTCATAAAACTAGAAAAGCCCTCTAATCCCTAGCACCTTGGGGCTGACATAAAGACTGACTTTTTCTTCCCTTTACTCGTCTCTAAATTAAGTACAAGTCAGTTTGTTTTTATTCAGTACATTTCTGACTTTACAGCCAAAGCTTTACAAATGAAGAAAAGAAAGGTGTAATGAAATGGAGTCAGACACACACTAACGCCAGGGAGAATCTAGGTGCACCACTCCTTTGGGAAGTGTTACAGAGGAACCTTCTCCTTCAAGAAAGAAGCTGTGCCTCTGGGAATAGCCCAGTTACCGCTAAGGAGGAGAGGACCACCTGTGCCACACAAGCGCTGTCTCCCTTTTGGACATGCCTTACCATCCCCTTCTCACTCTCCTGCTTGCGCACACAAACACACACATTTATTAGGATTAAACTGGGAATTCCACCCTGGCTGATGTAGCTCAGTGGATTGAGCGCGGGCTGCACACCAAAGTATCACAGGTTCGATTCCCAGTCAGGGTACATGCCTGGGTTGCAGGCCATGACCCACAGCAATGGCACATTGATGTTTCTCTCTCTCTCTCTATCTCCCTCCCTTCCCTCTCTAAAAATGAATAAATAAAATCTTAAAAAACAAAAACAAAAAACTGGGGCATTCCCTGAAGTGTACAGATCATGGCATTTATTTTGGCCACAACTGTGCAGTTTGTCAAAGGGAAGATAAGGTACGGCATTTATAAACAACTGTAATTATAACACATCCGAACGGCTGTAGGAAGCAGATTTGTCTTTGTCGCTGGTATACAGCTCTGTGGTTTCCCGACGTCTGGGTCTTGCACTCGTCTCCTCTGGAAACCAGCCAGGATCACCTAAATATGGAAATGGATAATAGCTTATGACCAGACCACGTTCTTGTATTAAAAGAAGTCTCCATTACTGGGTTCTTCTTTTGAAAAGCCAAACAGACAGGGGAGTGACTAAAGATGGAGGAGAAGACAATTCAGACTTGGACCATGACTCTGATTTAGGAATTGTCTCTCTGGCGAAATTAACCACAGCAAAGAAAGGTACCATCAGTTAAGTGAAAGTGATTAATACAATTCATCAGCCAGACACGGATGCGTCCCAAGATCCTGTAACCAGCAGAGAACAAATGAGACATATGCTCTCTGTAAACACAGTGTGGAATTACCACGAGGACCTCCATGTCCTGTGTCAGCATCAGAGCCCCAAAACCAAAGATCCCGGGAGGGAGCAAATATGGCACACTGCTTTAGCTATTAACGAGAATGGAGAGCTCCAACCAAATGAAAGGCACCAAAAAGTCCCTCAGTGTTGAAAAGGCTTTAAACACAGCAACATCTTTAAGCTCTGATTAAGAGGGAAGGCTGTCAGGATAAGGGAAAGCAAAATGACTTCGCAGCCTGTTACAGTCACAGACTGTGACGACAGGTGGGAATCTCAGGGACCACCCAAACTACTGTTTCCACATGACAGCGAAGCAATGGTGTTTGTGGCAGTAGAAGGAAATCCAAGAAAAGCTATCCCTTGAATTTTACTTTGGTCCAAATATTTTTTAAAAACTTTAATTTTGTAAAATCGTTGAAGGAGTTTGTTGAAGAAAACCAGAAATAGACTTCTTTTAGGTCACTGAACATAAAACAAGCAACATCTTTCAAACACCCTGGGAATGATGTTTGTCTTTTATTGACCTCACCTAGCAAAGGTTCCTCGGTCACCGGGCAATGGCTGAAACAGCCAGCACTGTTGAGACATAGAGTGGCTCTGAGATCTGCTGTGGCCTTCTGTTTGGCTGGGAGGAAGCGGAGGAGGGAGGAGTAGATCAGGGAATCGGGGGTTGCACCATTTCCCATATCCTGCACCTCTCCCCAGAGTCACTCCCAGGAACGGCAAAGGACTCTCACTGGGGATAAGCACACAGCGCAAAGAAGAATATTTTTAAGGCAATGGGAATAAATGTCATCGTCCCTCCCAGAGGAGAGGAACAATTATACGAAGTGACCACAAACTCTGGAAACCAAGCAAATCCCTAATAAATGACTTACTGATATTACATGACAATGAATGACAAAGTAGTACTGTCTATAATTCTAGACTTTATGGCCACCCTATTGAATCTTTGGAATAGAAAAAAGATTTTGTTTTCTTGTAACTACAAAGCTGTCATACTTAGTCTAGGCACAGCCAGGGTGACGTGTGTCCTCAACTCCACTCTCTTTACCGACTATTTATTCTATATACTCATATTGTCGAGTTCCTCCCAGGAGAAAAACTCTGCCAGTATCAACGTTTAGCGACATTTTCAAAATACGTTTTTTAAAATCTTGAATAAAAAGGTATTATTTTAGTTCCGTAATCCCATGTGCTCTTATTGCATCTGCCCATAAGATAGGATCTTTTCATACTTATCTAAGTGTATCTTTCTTATTTCTCGAGGCCTTCCCAAAGACTCTGTGGATTTTATGTTTTCACAAGAAAGACAGGCACGGAATTCACGCATGAGAAGCAGGTCAGCAGTTGAACCCCCGCCCCCCCCGCCCCAGAGCTCACTCCCTGGTGTGGGAAATCACTCAACCCTGTCCTCTGGGGCTCAGCTCTTAGGAAGGAATTTTGGAGGGGAAAAGGCAACAACTATCTGTGTTACTTAATAGCCTAGGAAGGGAGAAAACAGATGTAAAAAAAGACAGTGAAATAAAGATAGCAGAAGCTGTCCTTTCACTCCAGGGCGTCTGAGAAGAAGAGACTACAGAGCACGGACGGAAGAAAGAAGGTGTCGCTCCTCACAAAGAAACATGAACTGTGGGCACAGTCGCTCCAGGTCAGAGAAGTGACCACGGAGAGCAACTGGCTGTAACCTCATTGTCCCCAGAGGGGCACATGCCAGGGAACATAGGACGAAGCCCAGGCCGCAGCCCTCGGCATTCTCAGGCCCCCTGGCGCTACGGTTCAAAAGTCTTTAGGGGATGGGGACACTCAGAGAGCATCGCCGTCATGGCTACTGTGGCAACAACATGACTGTCACATCAGCTGGAGCTTGGGTCACACACCGTTTGAAATCCAGCCTAGTCCTTGAGGACCTGGTCCTTCAGTTCAAGAAGCTAGCTGAGATGGCTTCTCAGCATAGTTCAGGAATTTCAGAGGGATAAAAGCAGTAACTATCTATTACTTAATAGCCTAGGAAGGGAGAAAAAAGATGTATATAGCAGAAGGAAGAAATAGCCTAGGAAGGGAGAAAAAAGATGTATATAGCAGAAGCCAAAGCCTTTCATCCCAGAGTGTCTGAAGAGACTCTATGAGGCATGGATGCAGAAAAGAAGGTGTCACTCCTAAAAGGAAAAATGAACAGTGGACACATGGGATGAATGGGTCTATTAATAGCAGCTGTCTGAATGGAAGGTAGATGAGTGGATTGGTAGGTAGGTGGGGGGGTGGGTATAGGAATGATGGAAAAGCATGGTGATGGCTATTAGAGAATGTGTATGTATGAAAGATAAGTAGATAGATAACAGGTATGTGAGAGAAACACTGGATTTAACATGGGCAGCTGGATAGGCAGAAGGAAGATGAGTGGAAAGGGTAAATGGATGGGCGGGTGGGAAGGCAGATGAGTTAAAAGGCATGTCAGTCAATTAGAGGGCCAGATGAATGGACGAATAGGTGAGCACATGAACTGACCAGCTGGTGCATAGGTGGGGGGATGGAAACACGAATGTATGAATGAAAACATTAACCAAAGTTAAAGATAAGAAAGGAATTATATGGAGAATAACTATGCTACTCCAAAACAGTACATTTGAAAATAGAGAGAAAACAGATCCATTTTAGCAAACATAAAAGGTCAAAATTTACAGAAGCTGAGATAGAAAGCCTGTGCAGACGATAAGATGAAGTATGAAAACATTAGTAAAAATATACCATCAGAGAAGGAATCTCAGATGCTTTTGGGGTTTTGTCTAAACTTGAAAGAACAGAGAATTGATACACTATTTAAAATAATGCAGATCATAGGAAACATAGGTTAGTTTCCCATGCTAGTTTTTGGAAGTAGTGTGACTCAAATAGCAAAACAAAAGTCATAGACCTATTTTTCTTTTGACTATAGGTGTGAAAATTCTAAATAAACTATTTGCTAAAAGAACCAAGAGTGTATTGATATGAGTATAACCTCAGTATAACTAAGGTAATTCTAGAAATGCAAGGATGGTTCAACATATATATATTTAATATGTTATTATAACAACAAATTATAAGAGAAAAGTCATTATATAACTAGATGCCTAACAGGTATTTGCCAAAATTCAGCAGTAATTTCCAATAGCAGCAGTAAATGGATAAAAAGGAACAATCCACATGTGATAAAACTTGTTTATCCCAAACCCAACAGCAAAGGCATTTTAAGATTTTATTTACTTATTTTTAGAGAGGGAAGGGAGGGAAAGAGAGAGAGAGAGAGAGAGAAACATCAATATGTGGTTGCTGGGGGCCGTGGCCTGCAACCCAGGCATGTGCCCTGACTGGGAATCGAACCTGCGATGCTTTGGTTCGAAGCCCGCACTCAATCCACTGAGCTACGCCAGCCAGGAACAAATGCATTTTATACAGCAGAAGACACTGCCTTTAAAATAAAGGAACTGTATAGGGATGGGTGCCACTGCCTTTATTTTCAGCATTATTTTGGAGGTTCTACATAATATAAGACAAGAAAACAAAGTAAGTTGTAAAGTTGGGAAAAAATGAGAGTCCAATTCATCATCTTCAGATGACATAATCACATATACAATCAGAGTAACCCCCTTCAATACAGTTACACTTAATAAGACACTTGGTCAAGGTAGTTGGATACAAGACAAAATCTATGTCTTTTTATCACACTAGTCGCCATGAACGATCTCGAAGGAAATATTTTTGACTTGCCCTGGCCAGGTCCCTTGTTTGGTTAGAGCATCGTCCCAATCTGCCAAAGTTGCAGGTTTGATTTCCAGTCAGAGCACATGCAAGAATCAACCGATGAATACATAAACAAGGACAACCACAAATTGATATCTCTCTTTCTAAAACTCAATTAATTTTTTAAGAGATTGTTTAAAGAAAACACGTTTCACTTACTGTGAAATCATTACGGGCTCCAGGCACCTGAGCCCGCAGAGCGAGCAGCACTTCTCTCCCAGGGGGCAGGCCTCGTCGTGCAGGCACTGGGGCTTCTCGATCTTCGGGCACGACAGGGGCTTTTCTGGGCAGGAACCTGATTTGACTTCATGGGGTAAAACAAAACACTTGACTTTGAAATCCTTGATTCTAGTTGGAGACAAATTTGGGGTAATCTTGGGAAGCCTAAACAGGCTTTTGGTCTGATTAAGCCTCTTATCTTTTCCCCTCGAGTAAAAATAGAGTGATGGAGGCAGAGTATCAACTTATCAAAAAGTCTTGCCGTCTCTGACTTATAACATCTGATAGCGTTCCTACCTGTCCCTACAGAAGGGATGGATTTGGGTTATCTAATCCCAGAGTGCCAGAGACAGGAGTATTAGAAATCACCCAGAACTTCCTTGTTTTATAAAGTGTAGCAATTGAGAGCTATGTAGGGGGAATTAAGTTGCCTAAGGCCACACAGATAAAACAGTCGAGAAGTTGAAGTGACTGGAAAAGACTTGACCCCTTCCATCACACCACACTGTCCCTCAAAACATTGACAATCCCAGGGACAAGACCATACATCTGAGCACTGAGTGGCAGAGTGAGCACTAGCCACAGAGGCTGGAGAGTTCTCTTCTACCCCAACAGCATTTTGCTGCCAGTCTTTTCGCCAGCGCACCTTATAGGATGTGAATATGCTATGCATGCTCGGAAGTTCCGTGCAGACACAAGGGCTTATTAAGAATATACTCAATGGTTATGATTTTTTTGTATAAATAAGTGCATATTGTCACCTTGCAGGCCATCGAAGAACGAGATGCAGAATAAATGGGATTGCATGGGGAAAATGGAGAGTGGCCCCGTGCACGAATGGCTTTGAAGAAGAACACATAGTCTCCCAAGATAAGGAGGGCGACATGAGAGAATTGGTTGGACGTCAAAAGGACAAAAGTTCCCAAGAGACCTCTAAGATCACCCTAAGACACAGCATGGCACCCTTAGCCCAGTAGACTTTGGGAGATCTATCCCAGTCCTCACCTGTCCAGGCCCTGGCACAAGCAAAGCCACACATGGATTCACAACATTTATCCATTTGAGGGCAATCAGCGTCACTCCTACACCAACCCGAACATTCCACACGCTCCTCGAAAGGGAAGAATGGGCACTCTCCTTTCTTGACTAAAACAAGAGCAGACATGAGTCCCTTGGAACCCCACCCCATCCCACTGCCCCTTCAAACAGCTTCCCCTTCTCTTCAAAACGAGTATTTCTTGCGACTTAGTTCATTCTGCCCACCTCCGGCAGGGTGGAGGAACGAAAGGCTCACATTTCATGGGATGCAGTAGAAAGAGAGTCAGGACCGGTGTTCGACACCCCAAGTTCAAGCCCCAGTCCTGCCAATAAATGAGTGGCTTCAGTTTCCTTCTCTATAAAATAGGAGTAATTGTGTAAAATCTACACAAATCCATATAAGCCATGTTAGGGGATTTGGTTTTGCTTTGAACAGGGAGCGACAGACACTGACTCACATTTTGAAAGCATCGTTGTGGATATTGGGTTGGTCGTAGACCGTAAAAAGGGAAGGAGAGAAGCTGGGAGACCTGTGAGGGACTGTTGCCATGCTCCAGGTGAGAAGATGGCATCTCACATCAGAGTGATAGCTGTGGAGGTGGGAAGAAGAGGTCAGATTCTGGATCTATTTTCCTAACCTAATAAGTGTTGTTTGAGAAAGGGAGGTATCAACGGTGATTTGGGAGGTATTGTTGTTTTTCCAGCCAAGGTGGGGAGATCCATGGACACAGCAGGGTTGAGGCGGGAGAGCTAAGCTAACCCATCCAGGCTTTGACAAAGTGAATGCAAGGCGTTCATGAAATCCAGATGAAGCTATTGAGTAAGTGGTTGGAGCTTGGGAGGTCGATCTGGCTGGAGATACACATTTGTGGGTCACTAGCACATCGATGGAATTTAAGTTAATTCTTCAGGATTTTGCACGTCTCCTGTTGTCCTCATCTGATTGCAAATTCTACGATGGCAGGAAGTGTTTCTTTTTACTTCCCCAGGTTAGACTCAGGCTGTGGTGTGATTGGTTCTTAGAGCTATTGTCAAATTCTCTGTGGGCCCCAAATCTATCTCTCTCACAGACCAGCTCAAGCCCACTCCCGTGGCCTCTTCTTCCTGCTGGCCCTTGAGAGAGGGCCAAGGGCTCGTCCACTGGCATGACCCCTTACAGCCTCCCACAGAGGGAAGCCTGTGGTCTTAGCCTCATCAGGTCAGATCATAGGATCGCCCTGGCCACTCAGGCTCACTGTGCCCGTGGAATTACAGCCCCAGCCCTGCGAGGACCCACTGCGAATGCTTGGACAACTCACTTTACCACTTGGTCACCCTTTCCTCGTCTGTAAAATGGTGGCAATGGGACACCTCTCAGCCTGCCTCCCGGAATCTGAGGTCAAAATGCTAATGCTGTCTTTGTAAATCACACAACGCTACACTTTGAAGATCAATGGTCAGCATCTCAATTGTTACCATTGACTGAGCCCACACTACTGGACAGCAACCATGTCCAATCTTTGTGTCCTTGATCACATATGATCCCGCCAACAACCAAATAAGGTCTTTGCTATCGTTCCAGTATTAGAAGGATGAGGAATGAAACTCAAAGAGGCGAAGAAATTTGCAGTAAGTGAGGAAGTAGGATTTTAATGCAGGTCACCTGGCTTCTAAACTCTGTGGGATCCTGTCTCCCAGCATCACTGGTGAGGGTCGTTATACAAAGGAATGCATCCACAACCCTTACCTTCACCCTACCCTTCTCTTCACCTACTCCATGCTCTACCCCTACAACGTGGGATTCCAGAGCTGACCTGTCTACACTTTGATCCTGAAGGAGTCCTCAGGTGGTACTCAACAGGTCAATGTGATGAGGAGACACCTGCTTCTAAGGGGTAGACCAGGCTCTCAGATCCCATTGGCCAAAGATTAACACGTTATGTGCTCTATCTCATTTTTTAGCACAACTCCTTTAGGTAAATACTCTTATTATCCCCATTTTATAAACAAGAAAACTGAAACTCAAAAAGGCAGGTAACTGACCCAAGACTGCCCCAGCCAGTGAATGACAGAGCCAAGACTTGAACCAAGACAGTTTAACCTCAAAGCCTGGGTCTCTATTCTATTTCTAGTTAGGCTAGCCCTCAGGTTGCCAAGGATAAAAGCCTTACCAGCTGAAGAGCAAGCCGCCATGCAGTCCTTCTTGCTGAGGAAGTTGTTGGTATTCCCATTGCAGCCTCCATAGTTAAACTGTTGGCATTCATTATGTTTTAAGACATAATACCAGCGCTTAGTAATACTCTTACAGCGTCCTGGGTCTACAGGCAGCATGCAGGGTTCTGATGGTAAGATGCAAAGAGGGAAGAGCATAAAAGGTAGCAAAAGAGGAAAGGGGTCAGGCCCTCAGCCTTTGTATAGTACATGGTGTTACGGCCCAAATCCTAGAAAGAGCCATGGTCACTAAGTGTTCTAGTCCCAGCTCTACTACGTATACTCTATGGCGAAGAGCATCTCTGAGCACCATTTCTATCTTGCAAAGGATATCATGCCCCGTAAATAAGAAAACTTTGGAACTGATCTTTCCGCTGCTCTGAGTTTTGGGGCAGGAGGGGCAAGACTTGTTTAGCAACTATATCCAAAGTGCCTAAGACAGTGCCTAACACATAGGAGTGATAAAACATTGAGAGAGAAAAAAAAGCAGCCCCTCATGACTAAACACTTTTCTGATGCTCAGAGCTAAGTCATGTTGTTCCACTGTCGGACATGAACAATCTCACAGGACATTCACCTCACATAAGGTCACTCTGTGTCCACGATAATGTGACACCAAAAAAGAAATCATTGTGAAATCCGCAAAATATCAAATCCTGTGAGTGATTTTTGCTTCTCTACCAATTATAGCTCTGTCTTCACTCTAGCCTGCTCTCTCTACAGCTAAGATTCACTGAGATACTCATAGAATTGCCCCCGCTCACTTAGACCCTCCTCAAAATGACTCAGTCAAAGCCTCAACCCTATGGTAGATTCAAACAGCTTCTCACTGAGATGCCCCAGCTTGTCTACGGTGAACCTTCACCCTCACTGCAATGAGGAATCAACCCAACGTGTTCGACTACATGTGCTCCGGGTGCTCTTTGGCCAAAGAGCATTGACAATAGATATTTGCTGAATCAAGCTGTATAAAATGCACAGTTCCCTATTATTAGGAGCTTATTACTTTGAGGTACCAGAAAACGTCCTTGGAGGCCAACGTGTCCAACAACAACTCCGGCCTCTAAGCCACCATTCAAACAGTAGTCTCTTAACACACAGTAAGCATGTCCTTGAAGGCTGGGAGTCTAATTAGAGGAGGAGCAAAGCTCAGACCTTGGCCTCTTTATCCTGCCATCCCAGGGAACTGTCCAGCCAGGTCTGGACCAGGCAGGAAGCAGGGCACCTCCAAAGGCACCTCAGCCAGGAAGCCAATACCTTCGAAAAGATCTACGCACTTCTTCCCACAGGCGAAATAGCAGCACTTCCTTTGTCCCTCACAGTCGAGGTCGTTTCCGCACAAGTCCGGAGCTCTAGCCTCACACATGACCCTGTCTTTGGGGCACGCTCCTTGTTTCCCTGTAAGAAAGACATGTCTGAATTCACATCCCTTGAGAGTTTCAGCTCTTCTCCCACGGCAAAGGTGAAGAGTGAAACTCTCCCAGGCCTGTCCTCTGCCTTTAAGCTTCAGTTCTTGCTCTGCCTGCATTTAGGGACTGGAGCTGCTGCCCACCGTGCTCAGCCCATTTAGGCAGATCTGAATCAGAAAGGTGTGCCCAGGGAGAGTCAAAGGGGAAGCTTCTTGGATTCCAGGGCAGGGGATTAAATAGGGACCAAGATTCTCACCTTAGATCCAGGAGCTCCTATCTCCCCTCAAAACAATATTTTGCCCTGGCTGGCGTAGCTCAGTGGATTGAGCACGGGCTGCGAACCAAAGTGTCGCAGGTTCGATTCCCAGTCAGGGCACATGCCTGGGTCGCAGGCCACGGCCTCCAGCAACCACACAGTGATGTTTTTCTCTCTCTCTCTCTTTCTCCCTCCCTTCCCTGTCTAAAAAAGATAAACAAATAAAATCTTTAAAAAAATTTAAAAAGGATATCCTTGATAAAATAGTAAAAATTAATTTTAAAAAAACTTAATATTTTAATGCCTAGTTTCTGCCTCTTGTATGTTAGTTGACAGGGGAAATTAATTCGTGAGAAATAATAGAAATATTATGGAAATCGGAGTCAGGAGACCTGATGTTGGCTTCTGACTCCCTGTGAGCTCAAGACCACCTGGGTTCTGCTATATCACTGCACAGGTACGTCTCAGGGGGAGCGACATCTCGAGTGGAAGAAGCACTGTAGGTGAGGCAGATCTGGCTAGGGAGCCTGACTCCGACACAGCCAGCTAAAAAAGCCTTGGGGGAAAAAAGGCCTCCTTTGTCTGCGTCATCATTGCCGCATCTGTAAAACGAGAATCTAATCTCTACCTTATGGCTGCTTACAAGAATGAAACGGGCTGCCTATACTGCACTTTTCGCAGGACCTGGCACATGCTAAGAGCTTGGCAGACGGGGGTTTCTTTTTAGGGCTGCGTATGGCATCCTTATGGCAGTGCTTTTAGGAGGCACAGTTCTACAGTGTCAGCCCTCCACATTCCCACCCTCTAGTGAATGAGTCAAGCACCTATTTAGACCCTGCTGTGCAGAGATTTTGCAGAGGGAATTAAAGTCTTAAGTTAGTTGACCTGAAGACACAGAGATTATTTAAGTGAGCCTGATCCGATCTGTTGAGTCCTTAAAAAGAAGTTAATTTTTTCCCTAATTAATAGAGGAGAAGAGGCCAGAAAGATCCAAACTCTAAGAGGAACCTGTTATGCTATTAGTAGCTTTGAAGGTGGAGGAGGCTGAGTGCCCAGGAGTGAGGGCGGCCTCTACAAGCTGACAGGCAGTAAGGGTTTTTTTCTTTAAAGATTTAATTAATTTATTTCCAGAGAGGGAAGGGAGGGAGAAAGAGAAAGAGATAAACATGAATGTGTGGTTGCTGGGGGCCGTGGCCTGCGACCCAGGCATGTGCCCTGACTGGGAATCGAATCTGCGATGCTTTGGTTCGCAGCTCATGCTCAATCCACTGAGCTACGCCAGCCAGGGCTGACAGGCAGTAAGGAACCCTCAGTTCAACGATAGCAAGGAAATGATCCTGCTAACAACCGGTGAGCTTGAAAGAGAACCCCGAATCCCAGGTGAGAACTGCAGCCTTGGCTGACACCTTGGTTCCAGCCTGGTCAGGACCTGAGCCTAGGATCCACACCCACCGCGCCAGACTCCTCACGGACAGGGAACTGGTTACGCGGCAGCAGAAAGCTGTTACAGGTGTGGCTCCGTGGCTCTAAACTGAACATCTCTCCAGTGGAACCTGACCAGAGACGCGGGACCCTTTCAAATAGACTGAGTGCACGATTACAGAAGTTTAGATTTACAAACACTGTAATAACCATTAGTATTAACCTCCTAATTTCATAGATTTTTAAATGAGGTCAAATAGGATATAATACAGTGACTTACGAGACAGTGTGGGGCTTCTAATCCACGGCTCAGGCCAGAAGCCCCGCATCTCCCCTGAGGTCTGGCCACTGAGACTTGTAGCACCTTGCAACTATATTTCTCACCCCTTAACCTAACCTTAATGCACCCTCCAAGGATAACCTGAAGCTAAGAAAAGCATATGGTTCCTAATCTGAGGGGTACATCAAAATATCTGTGCCTCGTTTAGCAAATATAGACCGTGGACTAAACCAGAATCTCTGGCAGGGGTGTCCAACCTGCAGCTCCCGGGCCACATGTACCCCAGGATGGCTATGCATGCAGCCCAACACAAAATCGTAAATTTACTTAAAACATTATGAGATTTTTCGTGATTACGTGTCACAATGTATTTGATGTGTGGCCCAAGGCAACTCTTCTTCTTCCAGTGTGGCCCAGAGACACCGGCATTTTGGACACCCCCGCTAGAAAGCAAGGCCAGGGGGACCAGAGTCTTTCAAGTTCCTAGGTGATCCCAAAGCAGCCGGCTGGGCTCCAGGATGCGGGCTGCTACTTGGGAGCCATGTTCTGGGTCTGGGCCCAGGGAGAGTTCAGTAAATCGTCTAGGAAGACCTCCAAAGGGGTAAAGAGGCGCAGAAACCTTGCGATGATGAACACAAACTTCCTGCCTCTCACTAGTGCCGACTCCAGCCAGGTCTGCCTGCTTCCTGTGTTGGGGGAACCGTTTAAACCTTTGTTGGGGCTGCTTTCAGTCATGGTAGCTCCTTACCCCACTGTCAGCTTGAACTCTCACTGAGAATCCTCCTTCCTGCCCGTCAGCCCTTCTCAGCCTTGTGCGTGCAGTGTCCTCTGTGAGACACACCCGGGCCTCCCCCACAGTCACTGAGAACCGTCCCCAGGGTTCCGGTCTCAGCCCTCTCCTGTCACTGCTCAACACACGCTTCCCAAGTGTCCACATCCGTTCCCGTGACAATCTCCTAACTGTGATTGCCTGATCTCCCCCCACACCTGTCCTCTTTTCCAGGCTAAGACACTTATATCCAACCCTCTGGGGAAAACGGCATTTGAGCATTTCATAAGCACCTCTGGTTGCAACATGTTTAAAATCATACCATGCCTGAACAGCTCCTTCTCTCTGTCCCCATCTTGACATCTGGCATCAGTACTCCCCCTGGGATTCGCTCTTCCCTTTCTTTCCATCGGCCTAACATCCTTCTCAGCCATGGACTTGGGTCAATGCAATCTCCTAACTCTTCGACCCCATCTCCTCTCCTCCTTTACTACGACTTCCTCAAGTCAGCGTCTGACCTCCCAGCCTTCTCATCGACTCCTCCTGTCTAATGACTGATTCGTTTTTAAAAATTAAACTTGGAAAAGACACCTATGGGGACAAGCCAGGGGAATAATTTTCAGGGAGCAGGTGAGGGAAGGGTTTGAAGGGCCCAGGGTGGGTGAGGAGGGCTAGTTCTCTGAGGCCACAATGGAAGTGGCTTCATCTGACACCTCAAGGAAGGCCCTCAGCCCCCAGGAATGCCTGCTAAGGAGGAGTGGCTGCAGCTTTTCCGAACACACTTCTGTTTTTTGTGCCTCTGTGATACCCTGCCCATGTCTGCTCCAGCAAGAGGCAGAGAGACAGCAGGAGTGCTACTTTCCTCCTGGAGCAGGTGCAGCTGCAGCAAGGAAGGAACCTGTGTGGGAGGAGAAGAGGGGCAGGAGTTAGGCATAAGACAGAGGGAGACACAGCACACGCGGATGACCCTTAAAGACCACCCACCAATTCCCTCAGTTCGCAGTAGAGGTGCACAGTGGGGAAGGGGCTTGTTTCTGATCATATGACAAGTGGGGCAGGACCTTCAGTCCCAGGACCCTCCCATGGTCCCACACTCTTCCATGGTGCTGTATGTGATCTATCCAGACACTCGCTCATTGTCTCACTGTGGGTGAGAGGCCACACAGGAATGATCACAGCGATTCATCAGGGACAGTGCAGGGCTGGTTTGCCCAGAGTCACGCCGGGGGCAATCCCGGGCACCTTTTTTTGCACTATGGATGGCAGGAAGCTGAGATTTTCTGGAGAGCCTGGGCGTGTGGCCCTGGGTCTGCGTGCCCCAGGAGCAAACAAAGATCGCAGATGGCCTTGAGTTAACAAAAGGACCCTTCTTATTCCTTCTGGTGTCATCTGAGTCTAAGAGCTTATGATGCGTCCGGACAACCACATGCACCAATGACCTTTCCCCACTCACACTCGTCTCCATTTTCCGGGTCTCTTCCTGACCCTTGTGTCTGCAGCAATATAAAAGCATTTTCTAAAATATATATTATCAAGGGTCTATCAAAGTTAATAGTACTCAAACTTTCCAACACTTAACAGAGTGTATCAGATTAAATGAGGTATTTAAATAAAACAATAATGGGTATAGTTAACAGCATTATTAATCATTTGGAAAATGCTAGCAAAGCCTTTTCTGGAAATTAAGAAAATCACCTATGATTTGTGATCAGTATTCTAACTACTAGGAAACAAATTATTTTGTAAATATAAGGTTTCTAATCCTATTCCTTGATAAAAATGGAAAAAGGGTTTAATCAAGCTGTTGATTAATATTTAACTTTGATCATTAAAATAATTTTTGATTATTTGATTTTAATTATTTGATATTTGGCCATATACTGGAAGGTCAAAGAACCAAGAGACATACCAGTAACAAAACTTTCACTCCCGGACACTTACATATTCTTTGAGACATGCATGACCTATAGAACTTTATCAATAAAATTTTGTATATTGATCAATAGTTTCAATGTATTTATTTATATAGTCATTATTATTATGTTATTTAAGTGACAACTTGAACAGAAAATAAATCCATAAGAAAAAAAAATTTATTCCTAGAGTTCTACGGTCGCGGTAGATGAAAACATTAAATTTTAACTTACATGCGTGTTCTCTTTGCATAGAAACGTGAAAGGTCATGAATAAAAAGACTGTTGAACATAAGCTTGTATTCCATTAGATTGAA